TAATTCTTGGAGCACCGATTACCAAATCTCATCCATCTTATCGTTTAAAACTGTTTTTCGATTTGAAACATAGTGAAAAACTCAAAAAAAATGTTATTGAGATGGGGTTTATCTTTTTTCTAACTTTTTTACAGTCAAAAACAGCAAGTAAACGATCAGGGACCGAGTGAGTGAAAAAGTGCAAGAGATTAAAACAACTACGGTGGCTTGAAGAGGGGTGGGGTTTGTGCTAGAATGGGTGAAGGGGTTGAAAAGAATTCGAAAAGGGGGAAAAGAATTCAGAAAAGATGGAGAACTTTGTGCTTGTTCTGTTTACATTCAATCCTTTTCAAATCCTCATCTCTTTCTCTTTTCTCATTCTCTTTTCTCCAAAAACGGTCTACGGTCCCGCTTTTCTCTCACCTTTACCACTTCTCTCTTTTCGACTGGCTGCTGAATTTTATTTCGTCACGTTGTGTCATTCCAGGTGCTCACACTTTTCCACAATTAGGTTTTTGACATTTTATATGGATATGGTGGCTTAGGTCATATAAAAGTAGCTCCAATTTTGAGATAGATACTCCTCTTTTTTGTCTCTTGTTCTGGTTTTGACAGTATCTTTAGAGCTTCTAGATCCTAGATTTCAGACAGAGAAGAGATTTCAGACAGTACAATCTAGCATTGATTTGTAAGATTTCAAAATATCTTTGGATTCATCTCTTTCATTACCAGTTTCTTTCAAAACAATCCAACTCATTCATCTTGTTCCCACTTCTCCATTCGACCTTTCATATTCCATCTTTTTATCTTTCCTTCCCTTCCTTCTTCCCCTCTTCCCCTCTTCCCCTCTTCCCCTCTTTTCCCCTCCAGACAGACACACATTTTTGCACAAGAAGTGGGCGGTGCCCTTTCCCTTTCCCTCTTTTTCCATTTCCCCTTCAAAACGACCTCTTTTCTTTCTTCCGGGAATCACAAACTCCGCCGAAGAGCAACGACCATTCCCCTATTCTCTTCTCTCTTTTCTGTACCAAACTTTTTTTTTGTTTGATTCTCACACTTTGTCCTTTAATCTCTTGGAAAATACAACTATTTCTTCAACGATTTCTAATCCCATTTTCGTCTTTTCTTCATTTCATTTCATTTCGCATCGCCAATGATCTTTGCCTTCAGATTTTCCGAGTTAATTGGTATGTGTAATTTGATTCATAAAATTCTTGTCTTCTGATCATGTTTTTCATCAAAGTTTAGAACTTTGTTCGGACAAAACCCGAACAAAGTTCTAACCTTCAAAAGAATTACTGTATCTTGGGGAAGAGGATTTAGTTTAAAAGTCTTATGAATGATTCCATGACTACAAAACAAAAAGTATGACCGGACGGACTAGTCAAAGGATTAGATGTGTTTTAAAGTTTCAAATCGGAAAGTTTGATAAAAATTTGAAATGTTTAATTTGGATTTTCATTGACCAATGTCTTTCATTTCCTTTTTTTCAATTCGTCATTTCCCAGACCTCAATTTGTCTTTTCCAATCCTCCTACACAATTTAGCAAACGAAAATTGGATGGAGATGTTTTACTAAATAAAGAAAATTCTAATTTAAACTGAGAAATCAAAAATTGTATGTAAATTTTAGAAAGTTCTAGTCAAGAGTCAAGATTTCCGAATAAATACGAAATCTCAGCTTTCACAAATATTTTCATCATTTCGATCGTGTGATGAGTGATCGCTTGTGTGCGTGTGAGGCGAAAGAATTCGAAATACCGGCTGAATGGTTGAATGGTCTGTTCTGTGCTTTAGTCGATGTGTCTGTCACTCACTCAGTAGTCTCTTTCCCCTTCTTCTTCTTCTTCTTCTCTTTTGTACACTCATTGTATTCCTCGCGAATTCCCTTCTCTCACTCAACTTCTCCACCCCCAATACACACAAAAGCTGACTCAGTCTATCGTTGATTTGAAAAAAGAAGCATTTTCGAGTTAAAACCCTACATGATTTAGTACTGTTTCCAGAAAAAGTCGATTCTTTCTAGAATTTAATCACTGACTCATAACTGACTCTAGAATTTAGTCACTGATTCAACTGCTCAAAGTCTAAACTCATTCCTCAGATCATTTTTAGTTTGATTTGATTTGATTGTTTGATTTGAAGTTTGATTTTTGAAATTTAACATCGGGAAAATGCATGATTACTTAGTTTTTCTAATAACGTAATTAGTTTTTCTAATAACGACAAGATTCTACAAATAATTATCCTCACTAATCCTTTCATTGAAAAGTCTCATGACTTTGGAAAAGAAAACCCTCATCTCTCTTTTGTAAAATTGAAAGCAAAGGTTAATTTTCTCTCCAAAACGGGAACTTTTTCTCAAAAGCACAAAAGCAATTACCAACTGTACCAAATGCAATTTTCCCTCAAAAATGGATACAATGCAGGTGCCCATTTTGACGCTAAAGATCAACTATTTTGTGTCCATTTGTTCTCGGAATGTAAAGGCTAAAAAGTCAATGTTTAGCCAAAGAAATTGGGTGACGATCTTTAGCCAAATTCGGCTAAACGACGGGAAATTTGGAATTTCCTGGAGCGAAATGTTTTTGTTTTCAAGTAGAGAGAAATTTCGTGTGGGCGGCTTGCGCACAGCGGTGCTGATCACAGTGAATCGACCGTTGTTCTCTCAATCTACTGAGAAACGACGAGAGAAAAGTTGAGCGAATGGAAGAAATGGCGCAAGTTGTGTGGTGATCTATCCTTGTCTCCCTGTGTTTCCCAATTTGATCATTTCTCTTTCACCGCTTTTTCCCATTTTTTTTTGTCTCCATCTTGCTCACCGATCATCAACAATCTCAATCTCCGCCCCGACCATCGCCCAATCTCCGACTGCTCACGCATCCAGTCATATATATGGAGAGAATCATTTCTGAGCATCCTTGAGCTCAAAAATCTTTCTCCTTTAGTTCAGAAATGTGTTTGGCTCAAGCCTCTAAACGTGCGAATCTTCAAATTCACTTTTCTACCTTTAAAACTATCAATTTCCATTCTTATCTTTTCAATTTTCAATTTAAATTCCCTAATTTCTTTCCAAATTCCAATCAACTTCAATCAAATTTCCCTCGTAATTTGTTTTTCATTTCATCTTACCTCACCATTTTCACCGTATCCCATCTCACCTCTCAAATCACAGAGATTTAAATGATCTTCTCAAATCCTATTAAAAGAAACCTCAAAGTTCGATAGGAAATCATCAGTGTAGCCCAAGAGAACATCGTTGAATCGTTGGATTTCAAAGTAAATCTCAAGAAAATGTGCATACTTATTATTTTCGAAGAAATGTCCCGGATCAGACGTTTCAGTCAGATGATTGATCAACCATCAAACATTCAAGCTTTATCCTCATCTTTGTGGATATCCCTTTTGAATTCTTTCTCTTAAAAGATCATCGCATTGCTGTTTGATGTCTTTTCAGGCTAAATCGGCTACACTCCCGGTTTAGACAGCTATAAAGTTTGAGGGATTTCCCGAAAGTTTTTCGACTAGTTCTCATAGTTCTCATTAGCTTTTTCCCAAGCGCTATTTACGCTAAGTCTTCATCAGGCATAAGTTTTACAGTAGCTAAGTTCTTCTGTTCAAGAATCCAAAGGTAATCTCATAACCAGGTGCCATTTACGGTAAGCCAAACCTATTTACGGTTATCTAACATCGATCTCAACTCCGTCTTACGGTAGCCAAGTTTTTCATGCAAGTTCTCGACCTTTTCTCTCAATTTGAAAAAGGTCCAAAGGTGAGTCTGAGTGGGTTTTTCCCGGGGATCGTTGGTCATTGGTCGACGTGCGGTTATCACTCTCTTTTCCTTCTCGTTGTCTGCCTTCTCTGATTGTCTCTTCTCAGCTCCGCCCCTTCCTGTCCCTCCCCATTTCCCCTCGATTCTCCTCTCTCACTCCATCTCATTCTTCAAACAAACAGACAGTCCGATTCCCCATTTCTCCCTTTACTCGTCCCCATCCCCTTTTCTCAGTCTCTCCCGATCACAGTCCAGCACATTTCCCTGGCTAGACATGGGCTCATTTCGAGCAATTCCTATCTTTTCTATAACTTTCTTTTCAATGACGTGCACTTTGCATTAATTCTGCTGATTTCTCAGCTCAGCAATTCTACTTTATTGTCACGTCGTCTCTCCAATTTCTTTGCCATCATCATGTGCCAAGTTTTTTCCTTTCAAATTCTCCTTTAGTGCAAATCTCTCAAAGCTTTTTCAGCCAAACTTGTAGGGGATTACTGTTTTTATAAATATTTTCTTTCTGATCCGTCGAGAATCGGTCTAAACGCTTCTCTTTGATCTCTTTTTCTCATCAACGATCACCAAGACCGAGAATCGTTCTCGTGACTTTATCATCTTTTATTAGAAAAAAAACTGTTTCCTCATCTAAATCCTATCAGCTTTTTAGAGGATACGGTAGGCTGAGTATTATAAATTCTCAAATTTTGCTTACTTTATAAAAGATTCTCAAGATTCAAGATTGAAATAAAAAAGTAAAGCCAAAGACTAGATTTTCTAGACTTATTGTACCGGTTTTAAATTGAAATATCTTTTTCTAAATTCATTTGCAAACCCGTGACTCTTTTGACTAAAAAATTTCTTTACTGATAACAAAACGAGTTTCTGTTTTGTTTCCCATAAGAAAACTCAATTTTTCACCTTTGACTGTACAAAAAAGGATTGCAAAAGAGAAGAAAAGAGCGTTTTCTCGTTTGAGCCTTCCCAAATCGAATGATTCAGCTTTTTCGGCAAACCACCTACGCCATCAGAAAAGCGAAAAGAAAACGGCAAAACAGAAATCGTTGCCAAAAAACTCATCGACCACTCAAATTTTCCTCATCTTATTTGCAATTTATTCTTGGCTAAGATAAAAGTGTTTTATTTTGAAATATTTCGATTTTTTGCGGTCAATCTTCCAATATTCTAAATCTAGAAACTTTCAGATTTCAAAACAAACTGACTATCGTATTCTGAAATTGTATATTTTCGCAAAATGATGGGAGATCCAGCGACAACACAAGCCGCTTTGGCCTTCCTCATGAGCTGTCAAGGATCACCAGCTGGACCACAATACAGCATTGACTCGTTGCTAAGGTAAAAACTGTTTGAAGAAAGATTTTAAACTTCTAAACGTTCAAAGAAGTACCATGCAACAATTCTTTTGTTTAGAACAGCCGCCTCGATGACAAATGCTCCCGTCGAGTCGAACTCGTCTACTCCAGACAACGCTGGGATTCTTGGAGAAGAGCTAACCATTTGGTTGGTCGTTTTTCGGTTTAAATTCTCTTTTTGTTCACTTCTACAAGAACTGCTCTAAAGATCACAACCAACTTTTCCACCATCAATCCGTATTGACTTAGGCCGATTCACTGTTTGTAAGGGGGAAAGGGGTTCCTGTCCTGCACAAAGAGGCGATCCTCGTGATTCATTCACTGTCTGATCACGTGAAAGAACAGATCATTGTGATTGTTTCGATGATGACCCCTCGTCTTTTCTTGATCAATCACCTGTAGCTTTTCACTCTGTAGATCAACCCGTAGCTCTCTGCACCGACCGATTCCTCTTTTTCTGTACACTGAACTTTGCGACTACTCTTCTGCTACTTTTCTGAACTCTTTGCCTTTTCCAGAAAACACGGAGAAAGAAGCAAAAAATTTGTGGCCGTCTCAAAATTGAATAATGACTTGAGCGGGCTTTGAGCTTTGGTCTTTTCCCCGATTTTCTCCCTCTCCACCTGACCTTTATTTTCATCTTTCTTTATTCAACACAATATTACGAGGCAATTTGATATCTTTTGACTAGTTTTCACTCTTTCACTTCATTTTTATTACTAAAAACGGGATTTATCTTGCAAAAACAAAAACGAGGTTTGAACTCTATTGGGTGAAGAGGTGAAAACACGGTTTAAGTGGTTTTTCCATGGGGATTTAGTGGTCTGAAAGGGGATTTCCATCACGAGATCATGGATAAAGTATTGGGAAATGATTATCTTTTGCAGAATAAACATTTAAGTAGATTCTAGAAACGGGAAACTCTTTTCTAATGCAAGACCAAGACCAAAAGTCACAAAAGACAAAGTTCTACCGTAAACCTTGTGATGTTTTGACTAAAAATTCGTCTTGTGTACCCTTGTAAACGTCCTTGTAAACGACTAGGCCGATCCACTTGTTCTGATCCTCGAAATAGCAAAGAGACCACAAAATACGATTGCTCTTTTCTCCATCATTTCTCTCGTTTTTGTCTATTCGGGTGCACACAGAGATACGAAACAAAAAGTGTTCTCTGGTCGTTGAAGGCATTCCCAAAGTGGCTGCATTCGGAAGGAGAAAAGACCGAGGATCTAAGTGATAGACTTTAGAACTTAAAGAGATTTAGAGATTCTAGAGATCAAGGGGAAAAAAAGTCGACCAAGGACTATTGGGGAGAACCCTTGGGGAGTGTGGGGAGTGAGGGGAGTGAGCAATGGCTGTCCCTCCTCCCGCCCTTGTGATTCTCTTTTCTTTAAGAGGTCAATGGTCAGAGACCACTCTCTTGTTTATGCATCTCGTGATAGAAAAACAAAAGAAATTGACAACAACATTAACTCTGCAACATTTCAGCTCTGTATGCAAAGATGAAGCCTCCGGAAGACATTACGGAGTTGTAGCCTGTTTTGGTTGCAAGGGATTCTTCCGACGAACCGTTCGAGCCGGAAAGACCTACGTTTGCCGTTATGAGCAAAAGTGTCGAATTGATAAAGCCGGTCGCAATGTGTGCCGCTCGTGTCGCTTCCAGAAATGCCTCGAAGTCGGAATGGAGCCCGATGGTGAGTCGAATCAAATAAATTCAAAGAATTTCCTCAAATTTGTACTTTAATGTATTAACCAAAGGAATTTCAGCTATCCGACCTGACCGCGATAAAACAGGACGTCAAAAGAATCCCCGAAGAACACATGGACCGGGAATGATCGAAAATGAGGACAGCAAGACCCCTGTGCCCCATAATGGAAGTGGACATGACAATGAAGGTAGTTTTAGTTTCAAGATTGTTACAGTAATCAAAAGATTAAACAATAATATTCTGTTTTCAGATGATGCTCGTACTTCACCCTCAAGTGGAGCCAACTCGGCGCCAATCTCGGTCTCAGCCATAGACGAGAATGTTCTGTCAACTCTTCGTGAAGTTGAGCTCATCTGCAACTCACTCCGAGACGCCGTTCCAATGTCACCAAAGAAATCGTTTGATCTCTATGATGCTATTCATCGTCCATCACTTGTTTCAGCCCGATCACCGGTAAGTAAATCACTCGTTCGCTTACTGTACTTCTGATTGAAACAGTTAATAATCAAGAGCATTTCAGCTGCAATTCAACGGTGCTGAAGGTTCATGCGATCTTCGTTCATTCAATTACAATGTTCGTCGATTACTCGTCAGCTCACTTGACTACATGAACACATTGAAACCGATCGCTGATTTGAGTGAGGATGAAAAGGTAGCAATCATTTTCATTTATAGTGTGTAAAATCTCAACTTTTATTTACCTAGTAATTAGCTCTTGACCAAAGATTTCTTTTCCAATTGTCGGATTATATTTTGTAAACAATGAGTGCAAATTGGGTGCAATTTTGTTCTGTCTGGCTCAAAAAAAGTAATAAAACGATGAATGTTGACTTTTGCTATCAAATAGAAACAGAAATTCAAATCCAAAATTTCAGATTCTTCTCATTCGCAACAGTGCTCCATCACTGGCTCTCCTTGTCTCATCATTTTATACGATCAAAGCAGAGGCTCCAAAGGGGACAGTCTATCTTCCAAATGGACACACATTCACAACGGAGACAAACCTTTTCACTGAACGATTCAATGGGGAAGACTCAAAGAGAGCTCAACTCTTGATGAACCGTGTCGAGTGAGTTTTTGAAAGTTATAGGCTGAAAGTCTGTTACAGCCTCAATCATGAAAGTTACAGCCTCAATCATTCAATATTTTGCAATCAATGCTTACCCAACTAATTCCAGATCTGTGAAATCGTTGATCATCGACCAAATCTTGTCATCGATTCGACGAATGGCTCCAAATGATCTCGAGTTTGTTGCCTTGAAAGCAATCATCGCCTTGGACACAAACATTCCCGGATTGTCCGAAGAGGCTCAAGCCACACTCACCGTTGCTAGGTTCGTAAAAGTTTCTATTTGGAATCGAAGTATCTTGTAGTTCTCATTCAATAATGATTCTTAATCTAATCCAATCATTTTAGAGAATCTGTGCAAACCGCTCTCTTCGGCCATCTCCAAACTCGTTTCTCACAAAGCGAGGCCACTGCTCGTTTCGGTCATTGCTTCATGATCGCCGCTTCTCTTGCCAAAGCTGGAGCTCACATCACAGGCATCATGAACTTAAGTCGAGATTTGGGTCTTGGAATTGATCCAGTCATCGATCAGCTTCTTCTCCAAAACTTCGAGCTTTCTTCTTAAGCATTTACTTGACCGTTTTTAAATTTCACCGAATAAGACTTGCTTTTTGAGGTGTCATTTGCTTGAATATCTTTCATTTCTTTAAGCAAGTCTTTTTCCAATTTTGTGCAAGCTACCGTAAACCCTAGTCTCATTGATTTTTCTCATCCAATCCGAGTGTTCATCTTGTGATCGAAGTCATTCAACTCTCTTTACATAAATCAATGTCTGCATTATGAGCGATCTCATATGATCAGTCTTTTCATGTTGGACAATTCGTGACAATTGTAAATAAGCACTTAGAAAGCTAGCTTTTGCATTCATTTCTTTGTTTGTGAAACCTCTCAAAAGCATGATTGTGAATGGTTATAATTTGACTTTCATTTTTCTCGGGTCACAAGCGCCCCTCCCCTTTTTTTCTCAACTAACACCGTATTTTCGATGAAAATTTTGGTGTTATTTCGCTTTTTTTTTGTTTGTAAGTAACCCCTTCCATATTGGAAGCTTGTAAAATTTCTTTTCTCTCGCAAAATTCCATCATTTCTCTGGGTTTCCCTTTTTCTCGTCGAGTTATCGAATTTTATGGAGTTTTTTCATGTTTATAGAATAAATTTTGAAAATATTTGAAATAAAAAGCATTGCATCAATCAAAATATACAAAATTAACTTAAAAATACAGTAAGAGTGACAAAGAAAAAAGAAAAAAACGTTTTCAGGAGATCTGCATGGATTGGATTGAATGGGGAATGGATTGAAGGGAATTGACCACAAGATTGAAGGGAAATTTTCAAAACAGACTCAATTATCGAGCTACGATCTTTATAGACAGATTCTTACTTATGAAAGAATCCCCATTCATCACCCTTCCAATAGTACTGAAGGAGAAACTTTGGAGAAACTCTATCCCAACAAAGTCCTCGATGTCAATCTCTACGATGACATGCTCATTATCAGGAAACATATCGATTCACTAGCTCTTGTATTCAAAATCAATCATAACTACGATATTTAACCAATGCCATTTTTAATCGAGTAGAATTTAACTGATGGCTATACTTTTGAACAAGTGCCTACTCGTTTATTTTTCACCAGAATTCACTATTGAAGCTTATCCGTGCACAAATTTCACAAAGTCTGTGATCCGAAAGTTTCAGAAATCTCAAATTTGTCTACAAATTCAATACCAATCCATCTTGGGATTTTTCTTTTTTCAGGTTTTTGAAACACCTCGATTTTCAAGTGGCCCAAGAAGTTGAACTGTTTTTCCAGCGGCTTCAATTACAAGAAAGGTTTATTCCAGAAGTCGCCAACGGTTCACATTCTTGAGTTTAATGAAGGGCTTTTCTTTGAAGATTGGAAATGATTGATAAAATGATGAAATGATTGAAGATTGGAAACTTTGAAAATGCTTGAAAATGCTTGAAAATGTTTCAGATTGAGCTTTTTCCTTACTGGTTGAAAGAATTTGTGAAATGATTTTTTCGAAAACGAATTAGCAACAAAGAAAAAGGATTTTCTTTCCTTTTTCCAAGCATCGTTTATCGGTGAATCGACTTCGATTACAAGAAAGTTTCTCTCCATAATGTTTTCCCTTTTCCAGACATTGCTCAACTATTTTTAAGGAGCTATGTGCAAATCTGAAGAAGTCGAAATTTCCTCTGACAATCTTACCTCTAATTTTATCAATTCAAAGTCTAAAGTTGCAAGATTTCATCGATTCCTTCTTTTTAAGTCTAGCCGATCACTTTCACTTCACCCAAAATCTGTTAGAGCTTTTCCCTTTCAGTCTTCAAAAGCAAGTCTTCAAAAAACGAGTGTTAGAAAGGGAAATCAGCTCAATTTTTGGGGATTCATTGAAAGGATTAAAAGAAAAGAAAGGAGAAAACGAGCTAGTTCTTATTTCATTCACTCCACGGTTTTCATTGTCCGCACTGTCCATTTCAAACCTTCTTTCTGTCCATTTCAAACCAATAGTTCATTTTTTTGCTTAAAGATTCTATATTTTACTATGAAATTTTCATTATTCAATCTATTGCTGTTTGTTGCAGGTAAGACTTTGAAAATAAATTGAAATTAATTGAAATAAATTGAAATCAATTCAAATCCAATCTTTATGACCTCGATTTTTGTTTTACTGTATTGTTTATTGCAAAGACGATCTCTTCAAGTAGCTCTTTGATTCTCTTAAAATACTATAAGCCTCTCATGCATCGGATAAACCATCCACTTTGTAATAAATATGTATCGACATTTCAACATCAAAGTTTAATCAGGGATTTATTTGTTGTTCATTTGCTCAACGCTACAAAAGTGAATTGAAGAAAGAAACAAAGCTGTAGAAAGAACAAAGTTATCCATTTTGCAAAGAGAACGTATTAATAAGTATAAACTAACAGTCAAACAAAGATTATGTTCTTGTTTTTGATTAGAGTTTTAGTGTCTCTCACATTCTGTGATGCTTCATTGTTGAGAAATCGAAGACAAACAATGCATTATCCAGAAGAATTTAAACAATATGCTCATCCTCATTCCGGCACACGAATCATTGTTGGATATGCTGGCAGATACGCACCTCAGGAATGGCCAAAATGGTACATTTTGCACATATGACATTCCTAAAAAGCCATTGACTAATTTAAAACATATCAAAAGCTTTCTTAAACTTCAGGTATTCGCGAACAATGATGAAATGGGGCGGTGAGTCTCGTTTCACTCCCTACAGTCCAAATGATGCCCGATATGATGGATTTGTGAAGGAATTTTCCCGTCAACGCCGCTAATTATTGATCTCTAAAGTTTAGTCTGTATATACAATCGTAAATTTTGTGAAAAATATTGTTTGAATTCGTTATTCAATGCACAGTTCAAAGCTGCAACGGTAGCCAATGGAAATAGCCAAAAAGTTGAGTTGAGTTGAGTAGTACATAAAGAGTAAAGACTTTTCAGAAACATTTCCTGAACCAATTTCCTTTTCGTAAAAAAGAGACCAAAGACTTGCAAAGGCTGTAATTAGCAAGCCGATATTTAGAAGATTTAAAACCTATTTCCCTGGACGTACACAAACATTTCCGTCCTCATATCACGCAAAACTATGTCGCGAACAGTTAATATTGATTGCAGTTTTCAATTACATCCAGAATATCCAGATGGTTGCGTATTTAACGGCGATTGAGACAGAACAAGCTCGGATTTGTCCACAGCCATCAGATTTGGATCTTCTTGTCACGATTGGGCTTTTTTCGGTGAATTGCTAGGAAGTTTTCTACTAAATATTACGATTTTCACTTTCAGTTTGCTTCCCTGAATGTATTTGTCACTTCATATGCTTTCCATCTTGTTTATCACAATTCTCGACTTGGATCCACCGTAAAAGCATATTTCTTATCAAATGTTGTACTGAGATTCTCAAGAGGATTTGCTGAGATCTATTGGGTTGGTGAATTGAAAACTGCCGAGCTTTGAACTAAAATTTATTCAACATAAACAATTCAACAAAACCATAAATTCATTCGAAATAATTTCCATTATTATTGACGACTTCTGCCCATTTTACAGGCAATTTGCGGATTCCTCTTTCGTAGTAGGATTTTGGTTTGTGTGTGAGACAAGTGTGAGACTCAAAAATGGAGGACTGGAGATGTCAGCTGTCAGTCCAGTTTGAGCACTTTCTACAAAAGAAACCCATTTTGGTGTGAATAGAAAAGTTGTAGAGAATCAAAAATTAGGCTTATAGCCAAATTTCCAAAAATACTCACTAGATTTATAATCATTCCCCTTTTCACTTCGCTAATGGTTTTTACTGTAAAAAAATGAGTGACAGCAAGCTCGTGCTTCAAGCTGCCATGCTCTACGATTTCAAACAAGGAAAAACACTGCTGAATCTCAACATTCACTTGTCAAAGCTTTTGGAGATGATTGTATCAGTGAAAGTCAGTGTCGTCGATGGTTTCAGCGTTTTCGAGACGGCAATGAAAGACTCCACGATGAGCCATATACTGGACGCCCGCTAGAAATCTCATATAACAATTTACTCAATGCTATTAAAATTGATCCCACATTTACACTTCGGGAATTAACAGAATTTTTTCGACGTTAGCCATGTGACCATAAAGAATCTGCATCAACTTGGGAGAAAGGTTCCACATGAACTGATCCAAGGTGCCACCGTGTCACCGTCTGCATGTCACCGTGTGCTCCATCTACCTCGTGTCACCGTGTGTTCCATCTTGCTTCAAAATTGCAAATCATGCGACAGAATCTTGACTTCTGATGTTATGACAATGTCACTCGAAAAAATCAATGGCTCTTTGCTGGTGAAGCTCCGCAAACCACCGCCAAGCCCGATATGCATGGATCGAAGATCATGCTCTGTTTATGGTGGACTTCGAAAGGATTGGTACATTATAAAGTGCTAAAACCTAGACAAATAGTCGATGCAGACTTTTACCCGAAGCAACTAATGAGAGTTAACGAAGCTTTAAAGAAATTCGGGATCAAACCGTCAAGAGTCCGATTTTTGCACGATAACGCTGAACCCCACACTGCAAAAGCCACTCATAAAAAAAATTGAGGAGCTAGGTTGGAAACTTTTGCCTCACGCACCTTACTCCTCTGACCTGACCTGAGATTATTTTTTTTTGGACGTTGAAACACTTCTTGGGAGATGTACAGTTTGATAATCATGCTCAAGTCATAAATAAGCTCCAGGTCTATTTTAACTCCAAGAAACCGTTTGAATTCGACGATGCGATCCGGGATTTGTGCCGAAGATGGGAAGAAGTCATCGATTAAAATGGAGAATACTTTACCGATTGATCTTTGCTTGTTTCAGTTTTTTCCAATAAATATTTTGATCAAAAAACGTGCATTAATTATTAAGATAAGTAAAACTAATCTCTTTAGATCGAATCTTGATTGGTGGCTGGTTTCTTTTAACAGGAATGTGCCTTCTTGCGCTTTTATTTGATCTGATTGCCTTGCAAATGTTCCGAGCAAGATTGGTAGAGCTTTTAAAACAAGAATGAGATCAAGAGAACAAAATTGAGCACTTCATATTCCAATTTTAGCTCCAAAACAACTTTGAGTTTAGACAAAAACGAGCTGATATTCGTTTTTCCATTCAGGTTTTACGTCTTTGCATTCCGTGCACACGAAAGAATATCTTTAGATGATAATTACGCATCTAATGAATCTCGCTTATTGGACTATTCTGTTATCATCGAGTTTCGAAAGTACTTTTCGTTCCTTTTTTACACTTCTTGGTCAGCATGCTTACTTTTTGAGTCCATTAACGATTGTGGTGGTTGAGAATGTTCTTTAAGGGTAAAATCTCTTTGATCTAATATACAATGGGCTATTTTTAGAATCGTGATAGTTTATTTCAATCGACAGGAAAGGGAAAAGCTCAACCCGAAAGAGATAAAGAGTAACGAAATCACTCCTGAAATGCCTGGATCGAGATTCTACTTCCCTGACGACGACATTTGTGACATTTGAGTGCTGGCCTGGCTTTTTGTTGTGTTACTATTCCCTCTCGTTACACATAAAAACATTCGAGCACAACGCTTTCGAATCTCTCCATTCACTAAGCAATAGAAATAGAAGTTGAGGGCAAATTTTGTAATCTCCAAAACATTTCCAACTGATCGGAATATCTAAAAACGAGTTTAGCGAAAAATTTCCCGAATTTCACCTGTAAGGCTAAATTGTCTGCATACTTGTCTCCAACTAGAACAGTCAATGGAGCTGCAGGCATCGTGCAAATGAAAAAGATTATAATGATCGTGATTAACAATACAAATATTCGTCTTTCTTCCTGAGTTTTTCTGGTAATTTTGGCTTCAAATTCTTCAAAAAGCTTCAAATTACCTTCTCGCTTTTCTCCGTGGCCGTCTCTTTGTGAGAAGTGGTCATTTTGTTTCGGTCAGCTTTCATTTTTCTAGAAAATTCGTTAACTCAAGAGAGAGTTGCTAAAATCTGACTTTTGATTGGAACAAGCCACTACCTGTAAGCTACCTGTAAGCTACCTGTAAGCTACCTGTAAGCGATCAAAATTCGAATGTTGAAATAGGCAAGGATAAAGAATGGAGCCACTCGTCCAAGAATCTCTCTTCCCCACTCGTATGAAGTGAACCAACTCTCATACTTGAGTTCAGTATCGCATGTTTGATATTTACAAATAATAGCGGATGACGGGAGTTCAAGCTGAATCTTTTTTAGTGTTTGTGGGGCAATTTGTGGGGCATCAACCTCATGCACACTCTTTTTCACTGCCCACGGAGCGTTGATTGCAAAGTTTAAAAAATACGATAATGTAAATAAGATGATAGCAGTCTAAATTGAAATTTGATTTGCTATTATTTGTAGGATAGTTATTTTACTTTTCGAGATCGAAGTTTGTAAGAGAATGGATGACAGACAGCCATGTATTGACTCAAAGTGAGGAAAACAACAATCCACACAGAAGCACCCATCAATGAATTCACCTATACAGTTATAGTCAATGCAAAATTCGTTTAGACTTATGCTTTGTTTTACCAAAGGATAAGCCAAATGAGCATAAAAGAAAGCTGTTGTGAAGGAGCACGTTTGTATCCCAATCATCAAGAAAATCATAGGGATGACGGACAGTTGGGTGAGCTAAAACGAACAGTTTCAAACTTTGAAATGTTTAATGATATTCTTACTTAAGACTTTTATTACTTTACCAGCCGTACAAAGTTACATACAGTTAAAGTTAAGTTAATTAGGACATCAAAAGTTAGAAGTTGCATTTTTGCAACCGAAACAAACTTTTTCTGTCGTTTACTGTGGGGGAATATAGCTAGAATTAAGGTTAGAACATGATTGCCCCTGACTTTTGAGTAAAAACTTTGAAAACTATGCATTAAGGCGCAAATTTTTCTTTTCAGAAAAGCCTCGATCGTCACCGGGCTGCAAGATGGACGCGTTTTAATGTTCGTATTAGATCAAAAGTTAGGACAGTTAGGAGCTTGAAAGAAGTTTTGAAGGGGTTTTAAAGGAGCTTTAAAGGAGCTTGAAAGAAGCTTTGAAGGGGTTTTAAAGGAGCTTTAAAGGAGCTTGAAAGAAGCTTTGAAGGGGTTTTAAAGGAGCTTTAAAGGAGCTTTAGAGGAACTAAATAGGAACTATAAAGGAACTATAAAGGAGCTTTAAAGGACCTTTAACTTACGACAATTGACAGACACTGGTCTTTTATATATAGTAGATCATGTTTCTCTAAACCCACTAGATCAGTGATAGCCAACAAAGTGAGATAGATGAAGATAATGGATCCTCTTCGAAGAGTCGGATGAGTTAGAGTGGCTATTGTAAGAAGATCACCAATGATTCCAAAACAAATTATAATCGGACAAATATAGACATAAGTGATCTAAAATGATCTAAAGTGATCTAAATCCTGTTTTTCTTTAACTCAAAAAGCTACCAAATTCACAGCATCCAAATCATCATTATTGGCGGAGAGCTTGGCTGATTCAATACTCAAATTTGTTCCCTTCTTAATGATCTCACAGATTTGCGCTGTCGTTGTCATAACTGCTCAAATTTGATAATTAAAAAAACCAAACAATAAAGTTAAAAGAGGAATTAAATTGATGATGTTAAAATATGTAAGATTTGGTATAAAATCGCCAGTGTTGTTGTCATAACTGCTCAAATGTGATAATTAAAAATTAAAACCAATGATGAAACCCCAGGTAAAGCGATCAACAACTGAAACCAGAGCAAACGTTCCCTTTTTGATAATATTTTTCTTGTTCGATATTGAGTTGATATTTTTCTGTGTCTTTTTTAGCGAATCATTTGACAGGGTGACTCAGAAATTTCACCAAAACGCAAAAACTTTAGGTGAAAGCAAAATCGAAAGGAGTTTTGTCAGTTCCGCATTGAGATCTTGTAATGAACGTGGAAGATCTGATGTGTTTTTAAGTGAAATCCGGCATCTATTGATTAATACTTGTATTGTATTTTATTGTATTGTATTGTAACTTGTTGCTTCTTTGATGTTTTTAAATTGATTTTGATTTCAAAGCGTTTCAAAGTTTCAAAGTTAAAGTTTTTTCTGCGTATTTCTTTGTGCTTAAAGCAGCTTATTCATGAATTAAAGACAAGACAATATGTATTAGGTTGTTCGGTTATAAACAAGCGTTGCTAAACTTATTGTTGTGAGAGAAACTTTTAAAACATGTCTTTCTGTATTTAAAAGTACGTTATCTTGTGTATATTTGGAGTCTTTTTAAACGGATCTCTTTAAACGGATTTCTTATCTTTAAGATCTTTTTTCTTGCTTTAGATGACCGACTTCAAATATTAGGTTGTCCAGTTATAAATGCGCGTTTTTGAGGGCTTGTTCCAAATATTTCTGCAAGTTCACGTGTAGTTTGTCGAGGATCAATTTCGATCGCCTGTTTAAGTACTGCATTATCGATCGTAGGAGGCCTGTGGTCCTCATCTCCCAAAAATTCATTTCCTTCTCGAAATCGTTGAAACCATCGCCGACACTGGGTTTCCGAAATAGCATCTTCCAAAATACTTTCCAAAGGTCTCGATGAGATTCAGTCATACCAAAGTCATACCAAAGAAGTCATACCAAAGACTGGCACGCAGACGAAACTTCGTGTCGTTCACAGAAATTAAATCTAAACACAGAAATTAAATCAAAAATTGGTTTGACGTCAAAAAAAACAAAAAGTTGTAATAAAATAAGAAATTCTGAACAGCATATAGAGAATTGGGTTTAATACAATTGTAAAGCTCTAAGGAATGCTGTTCAAGTTGTTCAAGAGCAGGCGTGCATTCATAACTGGACAACCTAATATATCAAGTTCGCGTCTGCCTACTTTACGACTTCAAACTGGGCAAAATAGTCGCGGAATCCCAGATTTGGTCGCAAAATAGTCGTGGAGATTTGGACAAAGCATTTGGGAATGATGTATTGTCCGAAAACCCTGGTTCCAATGCTTTCGGAATGGTGATGAAGGCTCGAGGATCATGAACACTCTCGTCGACCTCAAGCGGCAGACAACGATACTTTGAGGGCTGCAATCGAATCAGATCCATGTCAAACGACGCGTGAGCTTGCTCAACAGTTTCTATTTACAAATTCTACCATTGATGAGCATCTCCACGCCATTGGAAAAACGATCAGATGCGGGAAATGGCTTCCTCACGAGTTAAGCAGTGCAAACGCTCGTTTATATCCGAACAACCTAATAGTAAATGATAACAAGTTCACAAATCATATAGAAAAGTGGCAAATGCAAAATAATAAAACTGAAGCGAGTAAAATAAATAGGAAATTGACATATTATACTGAGGTACATACTGAGGCTTGTAACAATGATCATTAGTTTGTTTCTGTTAAACAATTTGGTTCCAATTAAACAGTTTCCTTTTGGTTGATAGCTGCTGCTTCTCCTGAGATTTCGCTGGATTGTGCCTGTTCCTTGTGCAGCTTTACATCTCTGCAAATAATAAGAAATGGATAAATTACATCATTCATACAAATCATTCAAATAGTTTTAAACATACAAACCTCAAGTATTTGTAGAAAGTGTAGAGCAGATAGAAACTCCAAATCACTCCAATCACTGTCAACACCAAACCGAAAATACTTCCTGAAATCAAGTACGAATATTTTTGTTCAGATTTAAGATTAGACTTATGTAAAAGGTTTGATTAACCCACCATATACTCCACCGTCACCGAGATTCGTCTTGCTAAAATTTAATTTTATGTTTTTATTTTTCTTGCAGCTTACATGTCTCCTCGAATAGCGTAAACCATAAAGATTACACGTTTTGTGATTGAGAAAGCATCAAGAATTATCTGAATTTGAGTTGACGGTGATGAAAACATTAACCTACATAAATCGGGAAAAGAAGTTGAGCAAAGATTGGTCTCATCGTCCGAATTGCTTGAATAGAGAAAATCAAATCAATAACGACGAGAATCAGCTCAATCTGCAAGTTGGAAACTAGATTTTCTTTGAGCTTTGAGCTGAAGCTTTTTCAATCACTACTGAAATTTCAATATTGAAATATTCACCGGATTTAATCCACTCGAGAGGAGAATGTCCATCCAATGTTTCCCACTCAGAAACAGTATCAACATTCCCACAAACGCTAATCCCCAAATTATTCCCACGATAATCGTCAAGATTTTGTAGAGTCTCTGAAATTTGTCCGCTATAAGTTCAATGACTTTTTACTTACAAATGCACTACAGCAAGAACAAGGGAAAACTTTGTAGTCCTCTTCATCTGGACGTTGACGAACATCGAGATTTGGGTGCCACAACCAGTCGGACATTTTCTAGAAACAAGGATTAACATAGGAAATGAGACAAATTGCAAATAAGATGAAAATCAATATCGGTATTGATTCAATAAAAGAATTGATGTAAGAAATGGTAGCATTTTTATTGAGCAAAGGGTTTAGGAAGCATAAAGGAAGCACCAAATGGTGAAGGCAAAGACTGAATCTCAAAGACGCAAATGCTTAATCGTTAAGTATTTAAAGCTACAGTACTGGACAATGAAATATCATATTTGAAAAACGATCGTCACTTTCGGGCGTCTGTAACTTCCTTGTCTTTGAGTTTAAACTATTAGTGTTATACATTTTCTGAAAGCTCTTTTCAAGGGCTACACAATGGTAATATTAATATTTAGAAATATGGTATTTTTTTGACGCATTTCAGCGCGCACAAGATGGGATACTCAAAATTGTTGATTTTCAAAGCCGTTTTTCTTTATGATAGAGTGCTGGAATCGCTCTGAAACTATGATTTTCGGAATCTACGCAAAAATTTACCTTAGAATCATCAATATTTGTAAAATTTTATCACAGTTTCATAGCGAAAAAAAAACCACATTTGCCAAATTCTCACTTCTTGAGCGGTTCTTCACAAAAATTGTGTTGCGTGCAACTTTGAATGTTTTTCTTTCTTTGCCTTGGGTAAAATGATAATAATTACTGTTTTTAGGAGCAATGGAAACGCAACGAGGATGCAAGGATCTTCATGTGCTTACACAACAAGCAATCCTTAACGGCAAAAAGCAAGGTCTTAGCCAGAACCAGTTATCGGAACAGTTTACCGTCTCTCAGTCGGTTGACTCCAGATTTCTATAACGATCTAAAGTTCGAAAAGTCGAAACTTGAGCGACGAACTAAGAATCTCAAAGCCGGCAATGCCGATGAGAGGTTTGCACAATTGGAGCAGGCTTGGAATTCAATCGCCGTCAGCTTCATCACTAATCTTCTTGATTCAATGCCTCGGCGATGTCAAGCTGTAATCGACGCTAAAGGATTTGCTACTAAATACTGAAAGCCCATTGTGTGCTCTGGGGTTTTCTCATTATTGTTACTGTTTTTGTTACTTTTTAATTTAACTACATTTTTGTTAAATATTTGTTTTCCAGCTTCTTCCTCGCTTGACCGCTCAAGAAGTGAGAATTTCGCAAATGTGGTTTTTTTCGCTATGAAACTGTGATAAAATTTTACAAATATTGATGATTCTAAGGTAAATTTTTGCGTAGATTCCGAAAATCATAGTTTCAGAGCGATTCCAGCACTCTATCATAAAGAAAAACGGCTTTGAAAATCAACAATTTTGAGTATCCCATCTTGTGCGCGCTGAAATGCGTCAAAAAATACCATATTTCTAAATATTAATATTACCATTGTGTAGCCCTTGAAAAGAGCTTTCAGAAAATGTATAACACTAATAGTTTAAACTCAAAGACAAGGAAGTTACAGACGCGCGAAAGTGACGATCGTTTTTCAAATATGATATTTCATTGTCCAGTACTGTATATCGAAGAAACAATCCGAACAAACAAACTACATTCTGGGCAAGTTGAGAGATTGATTTAGATTCTATAGCAAGAGATTCTATATCAGATTCTATAGCAAATCATAGCAAGAGAACACATATTTACAGATATCAGATAAAACGAAACGTGGATCAGAAATGCTGACAACGTTACAAGTTACAAGATTAATTGCTTTAAGCAGTTTCAATTGCATTCATAGTTGTCGCCTCTCCGGGATCCTCTCCAGCTTTGTTTTGCTCCTTGAACAACTGGAGATCTCTGAAAGGCAAACAATTTAAAATTTTCTAAAGAATTTAGTTTAGTGAACTTCTTTAATTCTTTTCTTTCTTTCTTCTTTCTTCTTCTTTTCTTTTAATTCTTTTAATTCTTTTCTTAACGATAACGATTCTTTTAATTCTCACCTCAAGTACTTGTAAAATGTGTAGAGAAGGTACAATCCCCAAATTGCGCCGATCCCGAGGCACACAATTTCAAAGATCGTCCCTGAAACGGAAGTTAAGATTCCAATATTAATACTTTTTATTATTAGGTTGTTCGGATATAAACGAGCGTTTGCACTGCTTAACTCGAGAGGAAGCCATTTCCCGCATCGTTTTTCCAATGCTCCAATGCTCCGTTTTTCCAATGATCTTTCCAATGGAGATGCTCATCAATAGTAGAATTTGAACATAGAAACTGTTGAGCAAGTTAACGCGTCGTTTGACATGGATCTGATTCGATTGCAGCCCTCAAAATATCGTTGTCTACCGCTTGAGGTCGACGAGAGTGTTCATCATCCTCGAGACTTTCATCACCATTCCGAAAGCGTTGGAACCAGGCTCGGCATCGGTTTTCGGACAATACATCATTCCCAAATGCTTTGACCAAATCTCGATGGGATTCCGCGACTGCTTTGCCCAGTTTGAAGTCGTAAAGTAGGCTTATTGATAAGTAAAGTAGACGCGAACTTGATATTTGAAGTCGGTCATCTAAAGCAAGAAAAAAGATCTTAAAAATAAGAAATCCGTTTAAAAAGATTCCAAATATGCACAAGATAACGTACTTTTAAATACAGAAAGACATGTTTTAAAAGCCTCTCTCACAACAATAAGTTTAGCAACGCTTGTTTATATCCGAACAACCTAATAGAGAAGACTCACAATAGATTGCGGCATTACGAGTTTCCGGCTCTCTAAAATTTGGATTTGATTAAAATTTTGCTTACTTATCGGACGCTTACTTATCGGACGAAGATACAATCAAGATCACGAAAATTCGTTTCACGAAAGCCCACAGATCTTCGATCTCCTGAATTTTGGCCTTTCAATAAATTTTACTATTAGTTTGCTTTATTAGTAAGAACTTACATAGACAATAAAGAGGGCTTGAGCATGAATCGGCAACAATGTCTTGATCGCTTTGTATGAGAAGAACAAAATGATAGCGAAGAGAACCATTTCGAGCTGAAATCGAATACAAATTGTCCAAATTATTTATAGCTCTTGTCAGTCTTTCCTTACCGGATCTAGTCCAGCGACAGCGCTGAGATGCAGCCAATGATATCCAAGAATGAAGCCGACGACAAACACCAACACCGCAACTCCCAACCAAACGGCGAGAAGGATTGACAGCCATTTGTAGACGCACTGAAATACAGCAATCTTACAGCATACAGCAAAAAAAGTAAAAAAAGTTTTAGTAAAAAAAATGCACTATTTTTCACTTACAAAAGCGTTGCATTTGACACATGGAAACACTTTGTAATCGTTGATATCAGGGCGGTTCGGTGTCAAAAGGTTTGGATGCCATAGCCATTCACGCATTTCTTCAAGCCCTTTCTTCAAATGTTTGTCTAATTAACTTTACAATGCTCTTTTTCTGTTTGCTTTACATTTCAATTTCTCGAAAAAAGTTAAAAGCGAATAAAAGAGAGTTACATGTTACATGCATGGATTGCAAGTGAGAAGTTGAGCTTTTTTACTTTCGAACCATTTTGAAGAAAAGTAAGAACAAAGCTATAAAACCTTGTTTAATAATAATATGCTTTATTCAGTTGAATAGCTACAAAACAAAATGACAATGATTACCCAGGAAACCACTCAAAACACACCCAAAAGATAAATAGGTACCTCGAGAAAGAATCACAGAGCAATCAAATCAATTGCAGAAATTGCGGCTTTAAATCTAGCCAAGGTGGGAATATCACGAACATGAGGGGGTAAAAGGTTCCAGAATTTAATAACTCGGTTAAAAAAGAAACTATGGGGGCTTTTAGAGGAAACGGAAGGTTGGTGTATGAGAAAAGGCCTTCTGGAGGCTTCTCGAGTAGTAATCAGCATTATTCTGGAGTAACATTATTCTGGAGGCGCCCCGTAGAGAGCCGAATTCAAAGAGGCCAGAAAAGAGGGGGTCGGGATGAATGCCTTTAACAATCTTAAAGCATTCCACTAAATCGATGGTGTAACGTTTCAAGGCCAAAGATTTCAAGACCAAAGAGTTGCAATCTATCAGAATAACTAAAGGAGGAGAATTTGTCAAAATTAATTTTATAAAGAGCAATTCTGGTGAAGTGCCTCTGAACAAGTTTTATTTTTTGAATAAGATTTAGTAGGGAAGGAGACCAAATCAACGAAGCGTATTCAAGAATAGGGCGGACATAAGCAACAAAACACATCCGATAAGTTTTGATGTTAGGTATGGTAATAGACCTGAGGATACGGTTAGCACTAGAAATGCAAGCAAAGTTACATAAATGGATTGCAAGTGAGAAGTTGAGCTTGTTTACTTTCGAACCATTTTGAAGAAAAGTAAATAAGAACAAAGCTATAAAACCTTGTTTACTAAAAAATTTGATAAGAAAAAGTATTTAAAAAAGATTGGATGAGCAATCACGGGCAAAATGCCATGTGTTTTTGGGGGAAATAGGCTGATCGGATGGAAACATGAAAAGGGACAAAAAGGAGGAAGGAAGAGGAACAAAAAGAAATAAAAGGGATTTATTTCAGTCTCTTTTCTCCTTTACTTTTGCTGTTTTTTATATTCTCAAAGTGTCCCCTTTTCCCCATCGATTTTCCCTATTCTCTCTATTTTGTCCACAAGATTCCCACTATTTCCTAGAGCTTTCCAGCGGTCATCGCTGACCTATAGTCTTCCATAGAGAAGTGTTTTCAAGTAAAAAAACCCATAAATTAGACTTTGAATAAAAAAAGCAAGGTTGAGAAAACTTAAACAACAAGTATAGCTCCAAAACAACAAGTATAGCTCTAAAGTTATCAAAACTGATTCAAAGGATGAAGAATAATCGGATTTCGATCCATGAGATTAGAAAAGCTCATGAGAAACAGTGGCCTTATATACAATTATATTTTTCAACTTATAAAGATCGAAAATCGAAATTTTGAAACAGATTTCATAAAGAGAGTTCTTTTGCTTTCTTAGTGTTCATTGTGACTCATCTCTACGTGAGCTCTCTTTTCTCCAATTTTTCCTCTTCTTTAGTATCAAAATTTAGCTTGCCTCCAAATATTTTTAATGTCTAAATGTAAAAACTTTGTTGATAATCTAATTTATTAATTGAGAAAATGAAAATGATCAGCTGAGATCAACAAGTTGAGATGTTTGCGAAATTGTTTTGTTTGTAGTTGATGAAATGAGTTGACTCGACTTTTCTTTTCTCATTTGGACTTTTCTCATTTGCTCGTAAAACAATTGTTTATCTCTAAATGTTAATAATTTTATGGATTGAAGGAAACATTGTACAACTTATTGGAGATATGAATAGAAAGAATAAATAAGACAAAAAGATCAGGTAGCACATTGAAACAATAATAGCACGAATATGACTGCACCTGAAATTATCAGTTTTGCTATAAGCTTTCCCAATTCAAGGTTGTTTTTCAAAGCTACAAGTTTCATATAAATTTACCGGGAGTATATTCTTTCGAAGAGAGTTCGTAAAGCATTATATGTCTAATGGAGAACAAAATGTACTGTGCTGAACGTTCTTTTGGTGTCGTTTAAATGTTTAGAAATTATTTTCTATAAAACTCACCGTGATCGGGAGCTGAGTAGTAGTAGTAGTAGTAGTAGCTGAGCAGAGTAGTAGCTGAGCTGAGTAGTAGCTGAGCAGAGTAGTAGCTGAGCTGAGTAGTAGCTGAGCTGAGTAGTAGCTGAGCAGAGTAGTAGCTGAGCTGAGTAGTAGCTGAGCAGAGTAGTAGCTGAGCAGAGTAGTAGCTGAGCTGAGTAGTAGCTGAGCTGAGTAGTAGCTGAGCAGAGTAGTAGCTGAGCTGAGTAGTAGCTGAGCTGAGTAGTAGCTGAGCTGAGTAGTAGTAGCTGAGCTCAAAATGGTTTATAGGTTGCGATAGCGGTAAGCGAAAAGATGTTGCTTGCGACTCTAAGAACGAAATCAATCTGAAAGTTTCAATATGTTATGTTATGAAGGAAATCTTTAAATTCACCCATTTAATTTGTATGTACGGCAATGCGCATTGTCGAGAAGTATGCTGAACATTACCGAAACTTTTCCATAGCAAAAACCAAAGTTGCATCAAATGTTACATTTAAACACGTGAAGAACGTGAAAACGACCTGAAGCGTTTAACCCATTCGAAACTTCTGCAGCGAATAATCGCTGCAGCAAAAACTCAGGAACGGACCGCTGCAGCGATTATTCGCTGCAGCACTAATTGAGCTATTTTCATTCAATTAATTGCTTTTTTTTGCTGTTTTTCAGCATTACATGTATATTCCAATTGTAGTAGATCTACAAATTACGTGGGCAAAAAAGATGTTTCATATTTACCCGGAATCAATGCAGTCTCTGGTTTTGCATGGAAATGTTCCATAATAGCTCTAATCTTATAAAGCCGATCTCCTGCAGGATCCAGTTCATTATCACAAAAACGCAGGTTGCGAAGAATAGATTCAAATTTTGCTCTTGACATAATGTGGGACATGTGGGAAAATCCTCCTAATCCAGGCCTGCTACTCCAGTAGTCACGAATCCTCGGTAATTTGACGATTCCCATTTGAAGCCAGGAAGAGCTTGAAAGATTTTGCATCGAAATCCTGCCAGTTTGTTTTCCTTTTTCCATGTTTATTAGATTCGCCTACTAAAATATTGTCGTCGATAAAATAAGAACAATAATCGATAGGATCTTGAAAAGTACTGAAGTCAAATCCAAATCGTTCTTCATCAAAAATAAATGGTCTAGGAGACTCTCTTACATCTTTCCAACCATAAATAAACTGCTTCGGAGTCAAAAATGTCAAAAAAGGGCTTGGTCCGTAGACGAAAAAAAGAAAAAACGCTGCGGTTTCGAATGGGTTAATAAACAAAAGCTACTCTATGTTCTATGAAGAAATAAATTTCTCAAAAGTAAATTTTAAAGAAAAAGCACAACTATTGAACTGACATGGAATGTGAATCCCGGGCAAAGATGAAGTCGATATTGTTTTGCTTGGGGCTGTTGTTGGATGTGTTTCTTTGGATGCCATAACCAGATCAACATATTCCTAGAAGCAAATAAAAATGGAAAATATGGCTAATCCGGGAATGAGCAAAAAACTATATTTTTCGATTTATTTCGATAGGAAACGATCCAGAATGAGTCAAAAAGACAAATTTAGGCGTCGCTCAACAATTTTTATGAAAAAAAACGTAAGACTATACTGTAGTTTACCCCAACCACTTTTACCCTTTTTACCCGATTCAAATTTCCACCTCCAAGTACCTACCGCATCTTGAGTGCACTGCTGAAGCGTTAGTCTCAGGGTTTAAGGCGCCTATGTGGAGCATATCAATGTTGGCCTAGCGGTCAACATTGATCGGCGGCACCTTAACCGCCGCGCTAGCACGGGCATCGCCTTCAAAGTCGCATCAGTTGCGAACCCAAAGCCTAGACACATAGCGAGCACATAAAATAGGGTGCACGAAAGGAGGGTGAGTACAAAGAAAATCCGATGATTAGTTTCAGCGCAATTGATAAAATGATTGAAAATCTGGTGGTTTCATTAAAGCTTTAGGAAAAAAGCTACCACCTGAGAATCTTAAACTCCGTAGGTAAATAAACAAAATGTTTTTTTTTTCTTAAAAATTGTTGAGCGACGCCTACATTTGTCTTTTTTACCCATTCTGGATCGTTTCCTATCAAAATAAAAAAAAATATCGATTTTTACTCGTTCCCGGATTCGCAAGTTTAGCCATAAAAATAATTACAAATCTTGCCTGCGCATAGTTTTCACAAATATACAAATATTATTAGGTTGAGGAAAAAGTAATGTCGGTTTTTGTCACAAAACTGGCGCATCAATCGATGAGATATTCTCCATTATGATTGATGACTTGTTCCCATCTTCGTCGCAAGTCCCTGATCCCATCCTCAAAAAAAATGGGGAGTTTTCGAGCCAAAATAAGTGTCGACTGCTTTTGTTGATCTGTTCGTGTTTCTCGAACTTTTCTTCCATAAGAAAACTCTTCAACGACCGAAACAAAAAATGATCTGATGGGGCCAAGTCGGAACTACAGGGTGGGGCATAAGTATGGTTACAAGGTTGTAACATTGATTTAACTGATTGATTTTTATTTCTTGCCAAAGGATTATTTTTTCTTTATTTGAATTCATCTTAATGAATTCTTAATTAATGTTTTTTTTATATTATGTAGTTCTGAAAAAAGCCTGGAAATTCCACAAAGTACCCTGCGGGCCGCCGTGGAAAGTTATCCAAAGCGTCTTAAAGCCGTTATCAAGAATAAAGGTGCCCATATTGAATAATTTGTGATTTTTTTTAAAATGAATATGATTACTGTTGTTAATTTTAAATAAATTTTACATGAATCCGTTCATATTTCATTACGATACACGGTTCTGAGTCTGTAACCATACTTTGAAGATGTAGACAATGAAGGCCGGAGCTCGAGTTTCCTAGTTGATAGTGAGATCAAATTAAGATTGATAAGCACATGGTTTTGAGGTGATCTTTGAGCCAGCTAGTGTTCTTTGAAAATGCAGACAATGAAGGCTCGAGCTCGAGTTTCCTAGTTGATAGTGAGATCAAATTAAGACTGAAATAAGCGTTGAAACTTTCAAATTGCATCAGTTACAAGTAAAATTTGATTATTAGTCAGTTTAATCCCACGGTTAGTTCACGGAGAGGTTCTTTCGTTTTAGAAATTCCAGTCACCTCCAATAAGTTTGTTTATAACTCTTTTCCAATCAGAATTCCAATAAGAAAAGCCAGAATTTGGAATCGATTCCCCAGAGTTTTGAGAGAGTCCAATAGTCTCGAAACCTTTAAATTATCTGTAGATGATCTTGCAGCTCTAGTGGATCCTTGACGGTATCTGTATTACTCTGTGGATTCTTGACGATCGTTATCTGTGATTTTAGCAAACAGCAAACGTTAACAAACAGCTGAGCACGAATTTAACACTTTTAGCATAGGTTTGTCTATAACTCTTTTCCAATAAGAACTGCCAGAATTTGGAATTGACTCCCCAGAGTTTTGAGGGAATCCAATAGTCCAATAGTCTCGAAACCTTTAAATTATCTGTAGATGATCTTGATCTTGAAGCTCTAGTGGATCCTTGACGTTATCTGCGCTACCCATATCTTACATATATTATATCGTGTTGCTTTTTATCGGCCCTTTTCGTGTTATGTGTATGAATTCATGTGTTTTAATCTTAAATCTAGCGCACTTTATCTCAGGTCCTGAATAAAGTATCTATATTATGCCGCACCCTGTATAAGATGTGTGGGGCAGAAGTTTCCAACTAAGCTCGTCGATTTCCCTTGTTTAAAATCATACCACAAAGCGGCTCGAAACTTTTCGTCTTGCATTTTGTACCTGAAAATATTGTTAAATTTGTGGAAATTTGTGAAAGTCAAATTTAATATGAAAGTATAGAGTGTCTAGCTGATATCTATTTGAAAAAAAACGCATAAGCAAAGAACTGGAAAATTGCCAACAACGGGAATTCAAAACCGACATTACTTCTTCCTCAGCCTAATATATCTAACACTCATAACATCATTCATTAGATGCAAATAATTAAAATAAGAAAAACTCAAGAAGGAATTTCAAAAGCAAGCTAACAATTCTGGTAAGGCAGATGCTTAAAAAGTAAAATTTGTGATTGATCTATGGATGATTTAGAAGTAATCTGGCAAAGATAGAAGACAAAAATGACAAAGACAAAGACAAAGACGACAAAGACAAAGATAAAGATGACAAAGACAAAGACAAATCTGACAAAGATGACGCGTTGTTTAGATCAAAAGTCTTCCGGTGAGTCAACAAACATTTCTTGGCAGTTCTTATCGCTTAAAGATTCATTCTTGGATTTTCATTCAATTTTACGAAATTTTACGACTAAAAAAGTTGAATGAAATCATAAGTTTTTCAGCTTTTTGTTTCTAACAAATCATGAAATTTATTTCTTCCTTCAAAGTTTACCAACAATAACAATCACAATAATCGACTAAGAAAGATCAAAAAAATACATCGTAGATACCTAACTTACTTAAAATTTCTAGATTTAGATTTCCATCGAGTTATTCATTTGTTGGCCCATTTTCTTCAGTTCGATTTTGTTGATCTTCATCTGTCTCCTCAACTTCAACCACATTGACTGTCGCCAATTGTCCTTCTTTGTTCTCCTTGAACTCCTTGTAAAGTTGCACGTCACTAAAGCATTTATCTAATCTGAATCTTATTAATTGTAAGTCTTAAGTTTGTCTAATGACAAGGTAGCATCGTTAAACTAGTTAGCGTTGATGATCGTACTGTAGTTTTTCCAAATCACTTACCGAACATAAGCGTAATAGTTGAACATCAAATAGAGAACCCAATTTCCGATTGGCACATAGAAAAGAAGGCCAAGAAGGGAGCCTGAAATGGGCAATTCAAATTAGGCAATAAGTGCTACGGTTTTGATAAAATGGCTGCAAGTCAATCAAAAACCTACCGAGAAACTCGACTTGTGCATTCAATCTTTCCTCAGCGAGTGTAACTGATAGTGAGCTGCAAATAAAGTTGTTTATAAGGTTAAAGTAAAAGCTTGCAAACTTCAGTGTTGACTGGAAAGTACGCTATTTTTTTCATCAAAACAGTTTGTAACTGAGATATTGGAAAAACTTACTCTCGAGCGTTTGTGCTGTGAACAGCACGAACCAACAAAGCAGCACATTGATAAGCGATTCCAGTCATCTAAAAATGCTTCACAGGTAAGTGTAAAGATAAACTAATTTGAGGGTTCTCTGCCATTTTTAATTTCATTTTTGCAGGTCTAAATGTCCCTACCGTGAGCGGAATGAGCATTTGAGCGTAGATCGGCTTCTTTGTAGCGATCACCAGCACGGACATCACCAAGCTCACCACGAGAATGCACAAATAACCCTAAATACTAGCAAAATTGTTCATTTTGATAAAATCCAAGTTTTAGACTAATTCAATTTACCCATTGATGTTGATCTTTCGTGTATCCGGATGATGACTCGATGATGAGTCCAATCAACAACAAGAGTGCCGAAGCTATTCCAAGAATTGTGTCCACAAAGAAAATCGTCTAAACTGTTTGGTTTTTAAGCTTTCTGTAAATTTAGCATTTGTCAATTTGAACAAGGAACCTTTGCACTACAACAGACGAATGGAAAGACTCGATAGTCTTGGGGAATCGGGAGACGTTCCACTTTATTCTGTGGATGCCACCACCATGTTGAAATTGTGATCGGCATTTTGTCTGAAAGAAATGATGAGTTTATAAATCTTAGAGTCATAAAACTAACACTAAATTTGATGACTTTTTGAATGGTGCATACATCTGCCTCTAATTGCTTGGAGATTAAGAGGATTATTGGCTATTGGCTATTGGCTATTGGCTATTCCCTTTGGGACTTGTCGACCCTATCTCGAGATCTAAAACGATTCGAGTCGATTATCAATGTTTAGAAGGCCAGAAGTACTTACCAGAAGAGTTGGCGAAGAAAGCTAGATAACTAAATATTGATGAATGTTCTTTTTTGCTCATTAATTTGCTGATAGCTTGCCATTGAGTTCTACATCTTGAGCTTAGGTTGATTGTAAATTTGCCATCCAAACATACCCTACTTATTCAAACTTTATCCATAAAAGTTAGCTCTCATGCAACACCAGATACCCGTTACACGATCTCTTTGTTCTCACCTCACCCTTTCCCTTTTCGATCACATCTCCCAGGGGGTCAGCTGTGAGTCGGAGAGCTTCATGCAACACAAAGAAACCCTTTCCCACCCGAAGCACCCCTTCTCTTTTTCTCTTTTTCCGGACTCGCTCCAAAAAAATAGCGGCCGAATATGGAGAAATATTCCGGAGGGCAAAAAGCCGCCGAAAAGCTCAGAAAGGGCGGGAGGGGAAAATGAAAAGAAAAAGAAGAGAAACATTTCTCTTTTTCATTTTCTTTTCCTCTCAATCCTAACCTAACCTACTGCTTTTCACGAGGATGCTAATTATTTTTTGGTCGTGTGTTTCTTTGAGAGTTTCTTGGATTGAACTCGTGTTTCCAGGGTGGCGCTTTCAAAACATGTCAATTTCGAGGCTATGTTTTAAGCCACTTTAACTGAAAGTCAAAAATTTTGGCATTATTATATCCTTAAACCAAGAAAACTGCCGATTTTAGATTTTTCTAGTAGACAATTTTACCGCAAATTTATGTTTTCTGATCCTTTCTGTGGTTTTAAATAATTAATTTCCTGAATACACACGTAAGCATCAGCCGGTGAAATCTAAAATTCTGATTGAGGACTTTGATCTTCATATTTTTAAGGTCAATCTTTACTCATTTTTGGAATTGAGCCTTTTTTGGAATTTTTCGATCGCCTTTTCCTCCTTCTCCGTTGATTTTATTCCTCAGCATTCCCCGATAGTAATTAACTTTCGTCTCCGTCAATTTTGAAGTCCCGACGAGTTCTTTTCGATTTTTAAGAATTTCAGCAATTCCAAATTTGTTTCAGAGCTTGAGTAGGAAAGCGAAAACAAGTTGACATTGGTTTCAATAGCAACAAATTGTTAATTTCCGTAGTTTTCTGTACGCACTTTTCTATTGAAGTCAAAAGTATCTTTTAACGCTTTAAAAGCTGTAAAAATTGGTCAATTTTACAATTTCTTGCTTATTTTAGATAAGATGGGTTTTTGGTTGATGAGACCGAACAAAAATGTGTCAAAAATCCCATCACCAGATGATTATCGGATATCTCCATGTCGAGCATTGACTTCAAAGGTTACGTTTATAATCTTAACTCAAAAATGAAATACAATTCAGACAGCATTCACACTCGTCACATTATTGAATCTTCTACTTTCTACGGGTCTTTTTATTACTCTTTTAGCGAAGAACAAGATTTACATCAGTATGGACACTTCTCTTTTTGATATGGTTCCTTTTGGATGGGTGAGTTCAATAATGAGAAAGCCTGTTTTTTTTGATAGCTTGACCTGTTTTTTGATAGCTTTAAATAAATCTGATTCTAGGTAACATTTTTGATTGGAGTCATTCACACGGTGATTGCTCTGATTGCAATCAAGACAATGAAACCTGGATTTGCTCAACTTTTGATTCCGATTACGGTTTGATTCCGATTACGGGCTTCAATAACCTGGAAACTCTTGAAAATGATTTGAAATCTCTTTTTGAGGTGATCCTTGTTGTTTTCTGTTTATATGATCTCTTTGGTTCGATGAGCTACGAGTTATTCCTCGATTCACAAAAGGCTTTGTAATTGTCAATCACGGTCTACAGCAAAACAAATCTTTTAAGAAATGCAACAAATGGAGAATGGAAAAAGCAACCGGAGCCTTATGCTGAAGTTATCATCAAAATACGTAAGTACTTACTTATTGCAATAAGTAAGTACGTAAGTACGTCATTTCAATGTAATCATTTTTGAAAACAAACTCACAATCATCTTTTTCAGGAGGCGTTATCGGGATCATCATTTCATTGTCCGCATTTCTCTGGTCTTTCAATCTTCTTTATTCATTTTACTCGTACGTGAGGTAAGCACAAAGTTAAGGCTAAAAATAGAATTCAAAATTTCAGAGATATTCAATTATACAAGGAACAAAGTTCAGCCTCAGTCGCAAATTATCCATAAAGTTTAGAACAAATGATCTTGTACATAAATCGTTCATTCACCTAAAATTCAAAAGCAATCGAAAATCGCGCACAATTGAAAATCTAATTTAATAAACAAAACGAAAACCTTGAAAGTTTTTTCGATTCAGTCAATTTTGATGCAAGAAATGTTTCGCGTCGAACAATGTTTTCAATCGATTGATCTAAAAATTTTCTAATTAGAAGTTTGAATCATTGAACAAACCTCTTTTGACTTTCAACTTGATATTCTTCTCGCTGATCGTACATGGGCCTGAAATCAAAAATTCAAATAATTTTGATCATTTCTTATTACTTTAAGACTTTGATTAATTCTTGAAGCCTCTCTCTTCAATCCAATCTGACAACGTAATCTTCAAGTTCTGCTGCGAATCTGCTGCGAATCTGAATGGTATTCCTTAAGGCTGATCAAGTTTTCAGTCATAGTTTCAATTAATGATTCTCACCTTTTCCTTTTGCATTTGGATCCCAGTGTTCTTCTCATCAAGCAATTTGTGAGCCTAAAAATGTCTGCGTAAAAATTATGACTTTTATTTTCACCAATCATTAAAGTTTCAAGTTTTTGATTAAATAACTCGTTTTCACATTCTCGCACTTACCACATCTTTCCATTTCTTTTCGTCGGCAGCTCTGGTACTCAACATTTCTTTCTCGGCTCTCAACTTCTTGAGTCAGTTGCTGAAAACAAAGAATTGATTTGAGTAAAGCTATTGTCAAACCTGAAGTTGTACACCACTGCCTTGTTGTTGAATTGCTTGAATTCTTGGAGAGCTTTCATCTTTTACCGCCGAGCTCATCAGCGACAAAGACAAGATTGGAACATCATTGGACTAAACAGAATTCTTCAAGTTGAGAAACTCCAAAGTCCTTGCTTATAGGAGGATTATGGAACTTGACTAGTGCTTGTAAAATTTTACCTGTAGTGAAGCATTTCCCGAGGTCGTTGGATAATCCAATCGGCAAACATCATTCATTGATTGTGAGCAGGGTAGAATTGGTATCAAAGGAGCTTCTTGTGTCACTTCAATCTGTGGACGACCAATCCTTTCCCCAGTGTTCTGCTAAAATTTCGATTCTTGATTTGTTTCAGCATTCAGTACCCTAAGTTGTTTGAATTACTTACTATAACCCGATCGTCGATCTCAATTGTTCTTTGTTGCCCAAAGCATGATCCCCTTAGCGGATTGGTCTCAGCCTTGATCTCGAAGTGACATTCGTTTCCGGTAGTCTTTGGCTCTGAAATGGATTAAATCTAAAAAATGAAAAATTTGATTTACACTTTAGCAAATATCTTTAAAGACTAACTTTCGCTGAAGTTCGCTAGCTGAAGCTGAAGAAGTTCGCGATAGAAAGAATGCCTCCCAATCTTCGTTCTCTTTCTTTTTAGGTGCAACACTCGGCTTCGGCACCACTTGAACATCACCACTCTATAACAATATTATTGAACCAAACTAATCAGAACATTTGTGATTGTTTATAACTTGATTTATATGTCTAAGCTGACCTTTGCTAGTTCTTTTGCGAAGAAATCGCTGAGCTCGCTGACGTAAATTGGGAAACAAACAATTGCTAGATTCTTCCATTCGTCAATCATTGTTTGATCACTGAAAATAATAGAATTGAGTTGCGTCAAGAGACGGAAATTAACAAAAAGTTAAATAAATGACAAACATATGATCAATGATTTCCCTCTGACACCCCGTCTTTGTCTGGAAATATTTCTTGATGTGATCGAGTCGATGCCCAGTGGAATCACAATCTGAAATTGATTGATTTGATGGGTTATACGTTATAGGTTTAGAACTTAAAATACTCACTTGAACAAGTAAATCTTTTTGGATTGATGCATTCATTTTGTTCGCATGTTCCAGACGCATTCATTTTTGCCCGAACAAGAGAAACTGTTGTAGGCATAAAATCCTAAGATGCGAGCAACGTCTTGTTGTGGCATTCCTTGATTCCTTGCCTCGATGATCATTTCTTTATCCGGAGTTGACAAATACGCTCTTGGCATCTAAAAAAAGAAATTAGTACCAGTAAGCAAAAAGTAAACGAAAATAATAAAAATTTTTGCAAGTGTTAAAAGACTTCTGCACCAGGATTTTCAGGGGTATTTTGACAATTATATTTTTTTCTCGATGAATAAGTGCTGTCTGGCGATAACGTTTGTGTGAATAAATTGTACATATATTTGTGTAACTAAAACTATTAATAGCTAAAAGAGCGCCATGAACTTTATCGAAGAAAATCGATCGAGAGTACATAGTAACATCAGAGTACTCTCTGATGTTACCATAAGTAACATTCAGAGTACGACAGAAAAAACTGAAAAACAGGCAAGGAAAAGCGATTCACAAATATAATACATTGAAAAATGATAACTGATTATGGCATTCGTCCTTTTTTTAAGGCTCATACATTGGAGCACTTTCCATATGATGAGGATGGGGCACTTTTGGCATATAGGTTTCACGACCCTCCAACCACAACTGGCGATCCCTAGAAGTTAATCGATTGAGGTTAATCTGCTTAGGCTGTGTCGTTTTAATCTACTCTAAGTTTTAATCTAAGTCCAAACCTGAGATATGAGTAGAATGAGTAGATCAGACAGAGATTCCAGAGATCGAACACAACTCGGATAATCGCTCCTGAATAGGCTTATTGTTAAGTATTCTCATTTTATGACTAGTGCTTTAATCAGAATAGGGCGAAAGTTTGCGCTTCGAACTCTACATTGAGAAAGCTTACCGGCGACAAGGGTGGCGGCTTGCTCTCTTTTCCGATCATCTGTCGCAGTGCTGAAGTTTTTAGATTGCATTAAAATAATTGAAAATTACATTAAAAATAGTAACAAGCATCTCTCTTACTTACTATTCAAATCTTATTCAAGATTTACCTCATTGTAATCAGAGAAGCGATCGCCAGGACGATGAAGTACAAAAAGCCGAGAGAAGTGAAGATCAGCTATAATTAAATACTCGTTTCTACGCATTATTGCTAAATATTTATTTCGACTTTTTAAAACCTACATTTGTAATCCAGACGATTTGCATGTAGACTGGTTTCTCGGTTCGAATGGCTTGCACAAAAGGATACAACCACAAAAACATCAGAGCGATTGGGATGGCGAAGATGAGCTATAATTTAATTGAAATTTAACAATTTTCTTTTGCTTGTAAACTTTACATCAAACAAAAATATTAGGCTGTCCAAAAGTCTTTTCGTTCCTTTTCGTACTTGCGTTGAAAAAAAAACAAATTCATTAATTAACCTATGGTTTGCTCTATATAAAAAGCGTTACTTGTTCAATTTCCCATCTTTTTTAAGTCAATTTGGGTTCAATTTCAAGCAAATTCAAAGCAAAACTATCTTTGCGTCAATAGATAAAAGATAGAGCTCAAAAAGTTAGGTATATAGCCAAGTTTTCAGAGAAATTCATTCAGTCAATTTCTTCGTAGAGGCTTTGATAGATTTTTACGAAAACCGCGTTTTTTACTGCCAAAAAACGTGTATTTGATAAAAATCTATAAAAACCTCTACGAAGAAATTGGCTGAATGAATTTCTCTGAAAATTTTGCCAGATACCTAACTTTTTGTGCTCTATCTTTTATCTATTGAGGCCAAGATAGGTTTCCTTAGATCAAGTCTTTAAAATGCATCATCGAGCCGTCGCTCTTTTTGACTACCCGACTTCATGCTCCCAAAGAAATCCAGACATAAGACATTTTAAACTCGTTTTAACGTTATTTTGCAGAAAAATAACTGACCTTTCTAATGAAACAAACCGTAGTTTAATTGGTGTGTTTGTTGGCTTTAAACGGAAGTACGAAAAGCAACGAAAAGACTTTCTGGAAGCCTAATATAAAAAATCTAGTGCTTTGCTTTTTGTCACTTCTCCATTATTGAACCTATCTGATAAGAGTTACTCTAAGAATAGGCAAGCCCAAAGGATTTACAACTCACCCGTACAATCGGACCACCCAAGAGCAAACTGGATAGAAGTAGCAAACCGACCAAAGCAACAATGCCCAGATTGACAACGGTGATGAAAGTGAAGCCGCACTAAAAGCATAAAATTTAATTTTGCTGCTTTAAAAAGCTGGGTTTTTGTTTTATATTTTGATGAAAATGCAAATTTGAAACCTTTGATGTGCAACATCCAAAACAACATCGATAGTCGGTGGGAAGGGGCTCGCGATCGACGATGCGTTCTGGACGCCAACACCAAGTCATTTTCTAGAAGAATTTCGTTTACTTTTACACCATAGTCAACACTAAAAAAATGTAAAGTTTAAATGATTTGGGAGTAAGGTTTAGCTTGCATTACAGAAAGAAAAAGCTCGCTTAAACGGCCAAGAAGATAATCTAAAGATCAAGATCACGGGTTATCACAAATAAAGACCACAAATTTTTCTGAAAAGTCGCACCAGAATAGGTTATAACAAGAAGTAAATAACAAGAAGATCGCGCCGTGGCAGATTATTTAGATTTGCGTTTTAGTTAAAAGGAATTGGTTAAGTTGAGTTTATACGGGATTTGTGAGCGGATTCGAAATAATGAAGTGGAAGGAGCCGAAAAGAAAACGAAACAAAACCGTATTAAAATTTTAAACAAGAAACTAAGGGCAGGTAATATGAAAAGGAGGGAACGAACGAGGGGAGAGAGTACTTTAAAAACGCGGTACAAAAACAGCAGATTTTACGAAGGGGAAAGAAAACTTAGCGGGACGCGGCATAAAAGCCGGGGAAAGTTTCCGATTCCATCATGAAATGAAGGAAAATGAAAAGAAAGGCAAAAGGGGAACTTTTGTGCGGGGTACGGTAGCGCATCCATGCTTTAGAAAGCGCGCTGCGCCGCTCTCGTCAATAAGAATCTAACTCAAATAATAGGGATAAGGAGAGATAAAAAAGTAAATTGGACTTGTTTCAGGAATGAGGCAGATGACTTTTTCAATTTCCAATTATGCAAATCACATCAAGTCAACAAAGGATAACTATTGGCACCTAAGGATGATAATTTCATACCAACAAATCCCTTTAACTAATCCTTTACTCTTTAGTCTTGGGTCAACATTGGTGCATTGGTGAGCCCAAAATTTTAATGCCTGTCTCTTCAAAGCATACGTACCACTATTTATTGGGTTGAGGATAATGAGTCGGCGCCAAACTTTAAAGGGACTTTTTGCACACATAAAGCCTTCTTTAAACATACGTTTGGTTTCATCAAAAGGATCCACTATTTCTCTACAAAATCACTTTTGAGAGATTCCACAAAGCTTTTCTTTCGTGGAGTTTATGAACTTCCAAACGCAGCTGGTTAAAATGGCAAAGAGTCCGACTCATCATTTGAACAGTTTCTTTCACATAAACCTTCTTTGGTGTTTATATAAAAAGATAGAGCACATTCAATTACTTAAGTTGCCAAATTTGCAGGAAGATCCCACCAATGGTTTTTTCTAGATCACAGTTTGTAGTTTTTGTGAAAAAATGGCTTTTTCTTGAGCGGAATTTTCTGAATTTTCTTTTAAATGTCATTTTGTAGAGAATTAGTTAACCATTCTACTGATATCAAACGCATATTATTTGACGAAGTCTGCTAGAAGTTTTAGACATTTTTTTGATTTTCGGCGCCGACTCATTCTCCCCAACCCAATAGTTTCGTTCATTGTTTGAGTTTTAAGATTTCAAGAAAAACCTACTTTAAAGGTGTGACTTTATGGAAAATTTTATTCAGTTCAATCAAAACACAATCCAATGCAGGGCAAAAATATATAAAAACAAAGCTATAAAGTTAACAAATACACATAATTAACAACATTAACATAATTAAAAAAGTAACAAATGCAAATAAAAGGCACAAGTTGATACATTCACAAGAGCAAACCAAGGTCAACGCTGAGGCACAAAATGAAATGAGTAAAAAAAAGAGAGTTTGGGATTGTTCAGGATTCAAACCGTGAGCAATTGTGGGTATTGACTTTGCGGACTCTCAACGACGACATTGATCGGTTTGGGAACATATTGTTCGGAATAGAGTTGCCGATCTCTAGAAAGAAAAATGAGTACCGATCTGATACTATTGACTCGACGCTTTAGAGAAATATTCTTGGTCGAGTGTTCAGTGAATGCTGAAGTCAAACCTGACATATGAGTAGAAAGAATACGCAATACACCATCCCCAAACGATGAACACACTCATCACTGCCATGATAACGAGGCTTTCTGAAAATGCATCATATATATATATATATATATATATATATATACTTTATCCGACAAGGAAAAGTGACAATGCAAACAGATTGAACAGCGTAGACGAAGAAAGATAATTGATATACAAACACAACTACAATTAGACACGTGTATATATGATATTAAAAATTAATTTAAAATTGACAGAGCTACAAGATCGAGCTTATATATTGAGGATTTAAAATAGTTCAGAGACGAAAAAATATCACAAGGTAACTTATTCCAAATACGAGGAACACGACAAGCAAAAGAATGATACAGTTGGCGGTTATGAAAGCTTTGAAAGGGGGTAATCTGAAAGTTGTGACTACGAGTTCTTCTGGCGTGATTCGAAATCTTAAAGAGCCCTTTAAGTTCCGGATGAGAGTTAGGAGAGAAGATGATTTTATAGCATAAGACCAAATCAAAATAAATGCGGCGATAGGATAAGGGTTTAAGGTCAAAAAGAGCAAGTCGATCAGAATAGCAAGGAATTTCTTTCGATGGGAAACAACGGGCATACGCCCTCCTACTGAAACGACGCTGAACGCTCTCAACCAAGGAAATTAACTTTTGGAGGCAGGGAGACCAAACAAAAGTGGCGTACTCGAGCAAAGGGCGGCAGTAGGTAATGAACGCTTTACGATAAGTAGCAATTGAGGAAAACAAACAGCGCGAAGTATAAGGTTTGAGATGCGAAAAGCTTTTTTGCCATCTGTTCAATATGAGTGTTGAATTTAAGAGAGGGAACAAGTAAAACACCAAGATCTTTGATTGGGTCGTCAGAAGTGGCTTCAGATAAAGTGATATTCCCTAACTTAAGAGTAAAATGGGAAGGACCAAATGTTACTTGTCTACATTTTTCGACGGCAATTTTCAGCTGCCAGGTTATGCTCCATTTTAGGATCGAGTCTAAATCTCTCTGAAGATAATAAAGACCATATTGGGTGTTTGATCGGGGGATTTTGCGATAAAGTTTTAAATCATCTGCATAGAGACGCACCATGGTACCGGGAGTTAAAGAACTATGAATATCGTTGATATAAATAAGGAAAAGTAGAGGACCTAAAACACTCCCTTGCGGAACACCACTAGAGATGGTAAACTCGTTTGAGAGTGTATCACCGATACGAACACGGAAAGTACGACAGGAAAGCCAATTTTCGATCCATTTAACTATAAGCGGAGAAATACCTAAGGAAGTAAGCTTGGCTAGAAGGAATCGATGATTTACAGAATCAAAAGCCTTGGCAAAATCAATAAAAATACAGCAGGTTTGAGATTTGCGCGCTTTGGCCCACAACCAGTCGTGAATTGACAAAATTAATTGATCAGAGGTAGACCTAGACTTAAGAAAACCAAACTGATTTTGGTTAAGAATTTTGTTTTCTAGCAAATGAGTGGTAATGTGATCCTTAATGATAGCTTCCATTATTTTGCATATAGATGAGGTCAAAGCGATCGGGCGATAATTCGCAAGTTGCTTACGATCGCCTTTTTTGAAAAGAGGGCAAATTACGGCGGTTTTCCAGTCAGTGGGGACAGAAGAATTTAAAAGAGAAACATTAAAAATTTTTGCAAGGATGGGGGGAAATATGATATTTGGTTTGGCGAATGATAAAAGAGGGAATATCATCGGGGGTGTAGGAAATTTTATTTGAAAGTTTGGTTATAGCTTTTTCAACAAGAGTAGGAGTGAAAATAAGTGCGGGACAGTTTGAATGGCGATTTGGGAGTAGAGGAATAGCGCTGAGGTTATCAATTGAAAAAACGCTGGCGAAATAAGTTGCAAAAGAGTTTGCTATGTCTAAAGGGTTGTCTATATAGGGAAAACGTCAATAGGACGTCATCAATAGGGAAAACGGAGAAAACTTAGTGATCTTTACCATAGAATCGTCCTTGCATCTTTTCCTGTACTTCCTGGTTGGCTGATGATGAACTCCTAGAAATCGAAGTTAAGTTCATGCTATGTGCTTCAATCTACAGGCTCTAAAAACCAATAGACAAACCAATAGTCTTGCAATTTGACGATAGTGAAGACAATCCATCCAAGTAGAAGAAAACCATTGACAAGAAGCTAAAATGAGTGACTCTGATTAATTGTAATATTTAGTAGTTCTACTTCAACAGAAGTACAAATGTTTGATCTTTGAACCTACCGAATTTATCCAATAAAGTTGCATGTAGATTGGCTTCAGGGTGCAGAGGGCACAAATTGATGTGATCAGCATTGTTAAGCAGCCACCCATCACAATCTGAAATGGGTTCTAGAGTTCTAGAAATGGGTTCTAGAGTAAATGACTGAATTGCTAGTGACTTTGTTGAGATAAAGCTCACCCATCCGACAGGTCCCGAGATAAAAAAGATGAAGAAAATGAAGATCCCGAAGAGTAAATAGTTGAGAAGGGTGAGCACAGTGAGGAAAGTGAAACCACACTGAACGTTGGAAAGTAGGGTGCTTCATGGACGGCTATTTTGTGCCATGCTTAGTCATGAAGTGCGATACTAGTTAATGATTCAAGATTTTTAACAGCTTTATCTAAAACCTTTGCAGAGAAACATCCACAACAACATCGATAATTCCGAGCCTCGGGTGATGTTTGGATTTCCTTCTTTGGACGCCACAACCAGGTTGGCATTTTGAGATCTGTAATTTTTGATTTTTTAGATTATTCCTTAAGTCATAGCTACTAAATTTCAGGTACAATTAAGGCTACTAAGCAAAGCCAACAAATTCTAACCCATATTTACTTTTTTAAAGCAGACAAATGAGAAAGCAATTGAAATGCAGGTTATTTACGACTAAAAGGAGAGCTTATTTCAAAACATTATTTATCAACAAAAACACCAAAAAATAGTGGAATTGTTTATGCAAAGAAAGTGAGGATGACGAATATGCAAAAAAGAGTTCTTTAGGGATGGGATCCATTGTGGGAAATCGATTGATTGTCGCTTATTCGATGGCTCTCTTTTGGTTAGGGATTGGACTCCTTTCTGCCTTACCTAAGAGAAAGCGATGACCTTCCCAGATTGGGTATAATGCAAAGAGATCTCGTCATGGAGCTGGTTCTTAAAAAATGGAAAACTATTTCAAAAATCAGAGAACTGCTAAGTGATTTCAACATTTTCCCATTTTTCAGAGTTTGAGTTGGTTACACAGAAGCAGAGATGTCCTCCAGTTCTCGGGATTCACAAAGGAAAAGCCGATTTGTAGGAAAAGCCGATTCCTAAGGGGTAAAATGTCCATCATCCACATATTAACTCAAATATAAAAGTTTCATCTTTTCTAGAAAATATTCTGGATGTCAAATGAATTTCAAATCACATTCAGATTGGTTTTAGTTTTTCAGAAAAGCGGATCTAATGCTTTTCCAGGACATTTTACCTTTTCGTTATTTTGTTGATAGAGTGAAATTTGATTAGGTAACGACATACTTCGATTTGGTAAGAGTTAGATACACTCTTTCATTTCATCTTACTCATCGTTTCTTTCTGATGGTGAGTTTCAACAAAGAAGTCTAGCTAAAAATGGGTAACTAAACCACAAGCATTCCCATTCTCGAAACTTTGTCATTTGCAAGAAGTTTTTTTTACTAAAAACTAGAAAGTTTTTTTGTTGAATATCCATGGGTAACTCTATTTGCAACACACCACCAAAACGAAAGAGAGAAAGGAAAGAGAATGTGGCCCATGGGGAATAAGGCAAGGGTGTCAGTTCTCGAGTTTGGAAGAGCAAAGGAGTGAGGGGAGGAGAGGATTCTCATCTCAACCAAAAACACTTCTCTCTTTAAGACACCTCTGAGTTTATAGACATAAAATCTACTTGTCCTTCAACTTCATTCTTTTATCCAAAAGCTTTATTCACAAGAAAAGTTTGATTATTTGTGAAGCTTGTGGTCCAAAGCCAAGTTTTAATATTACCGTATTTACCCGAATAGAAGACCGGTCTTCTATTTTTTCAATCACCCCCTAGACCCCGTCTTCTATTCGAGGCCGGTCTTATAATCGAGGCCGGTCTTCTATTCGAGTAAATCGAGCAGTCGCCTCTTTCGAGTTTTTCTTTGAAAAACGAATGGCCTCGAGTTTAAAGGCGGCACTGTAGGCTTTCCGTTTCGTAGCACCTCCGATCCCCTAAAAAAATGCTACTTTTACCGTTATACCTCCGCCAACCCCACATTTCTGTTATACCCCGCCAGTTTTTAGATAAAAAATGATCAGATAATCAAATAATTAAAAATAATCAGAGTCAAAATGACGGAAATGTGGAGATGGCGGAGGTATAATGGAAAAGGACCAAAAAAAATTATTGATTACAAGATGTAGAACAATATCAAAAAAAATAGTGCTATTGAATGAAAATATAATATTTTTACCCTATTGGGTAAATTCCCTTATTCTTTTCCCGTATTTGAGTACGTCCACTTTCGCGCAGAATAGAAAACAGGGTATCTCGAATATAAGACCGGTCTTATATTCGAGACGGTCTTCTATTTTTTCGATCATCCCCTAGACCCCGTCTTCTATTCGAGACGGTCTTATAATCGAGGCCGGTTTTCTATTCGAGTAAATACGGTAGTTTTTCTTCTCAGATCAACATTTCTGACACTGCCATACTTCTTTTTCTTTGAACCATGAAATTTTGAGGTGAATAAATTTCGAAAACATTCCGTCCCTTCAAATTGATGATTTATTGGAGTGAGAGGGAAGAAAAAGGAAGAGTTTCGATCGGGGATCTGTTTAGAGACCTCGATCGGATCTCCGATAACAAATCCCTTCATTTCTTTTCTATTTTTCACTTTAATCATTGGAAGTTTTAAAATGAAAATGTATTTTATTGTTTGTTCATTTCCCATGTAACTACTTACACAGGTAGAGATTTTCGAGAGGCAAGAATATAAACCATTTCAGACAATGAGTTTACCAATGGGACTCTAACTTTATGAGCATTCCACCACTGGGAAAGATCCTATAAGTTCCATTCCACCACTGGGAAAGAGGTTGAATGGTTGTTAGCAGATGTTGTAATCAGGAGAATGCTTTGGCTTTGTTCGAGCTGCATTCGGGGTCACCAAGTAGCACAGGTTCTTGCGTAATCTGGCCACAATTGATACGACCGATTGGGGAAATGCGGGGGAAAGGGAAAATGAAAGAAAGGACACTCAGGGCAACAGATTTCCCATATTTTGTGGTAACATTGAAAGTGGCTATGTCATTTTTGACCTCAGATTTCGAAAGCCATTTTGTTTTTTGCTTATTGACTCATTTTCTTTTCGTCTTCAGGAGTGCCTTTAGCTCAATTAGCTTTTCAAAAACTAACTCGATTAACTTCTAAATCTCTGTTGGTTAATTTTTGAGTGAGCAATCGGAATAGAACGGATTGACTCGTGAAAATCCCTAACAGAAAGTGCCAATCAGATAATCATACCCTGGGGTTCCCACGAAATGATTATTGACCAAAAAATGGGCGATCCCCGATCTCAAGAATCTCCATAAGCCGATTAGTGTCACTTTTCGATGAACGAAGAGATGGGTCTTATCCCTAAAGGAAGGAAGGGCCTGAGACAGTCAACAAACACCTGCCCATCCTTGGGGTGAAAGAGTGATCTCGAGGGGATTCGAGTGTGGTCCATATTAGTTAGTCTTGAGATTATATTTGCCTGCATTTGCATTCAATAATATCATTTTCCAGTACTCTTTCTTTAAAGTCTCGCAAAAAGGCACTCAAATCAATGGAGTTATACCCATGAATCAGACAAATTAGCATATCCTTCTTTATCATATATCCTTACTTTGTTAGGTAAGTCATCAATTGATGACTTATCTAACCATAAGTGACTTATCTAACCATGAGAACCATCTAACCATAAGTCATCAATTCATTTATACCTCCCGCTATTAAAAAATTTTTTTTTGTGAAATTTCATTTGCTTTTTATTTATGCTCAAGTTTTGCGGGGTATAGCTAATAATTTTTGTTGTAAGCATATGCAAATTTCTCTTTCTTTTGCGCGGTTTAACTTCATTGGTGCAAGGCCTTTTGGACCGTGTCTTTATTTTGATTTCTCATTGTGTGAAAACGAAACGAAACTTTGTATCATAATCCCTCTAATCTCAGCAATCCAGATGCTCCCGTTCTCAGGCTTTTCCCCACCTTATCATTACTGTGAAAGGCTTTGATTTGAAAAACTAAAAAGATTTTCTGTACGAGTTTTGAGCATCTTTCTGATTTTGAAGTTTCTGATTTTTGGGCATCTTTCTGATTTTGGTATTTGTGTTGGGTGCATTTCGATCTTCTTTATCCAGAAATCTACAACATTAACTTTTGGTTTTTCTATGCTTTTGGCTTCTTGAACTTTTAGGATTGCTAACTTTTGAAAATATTTCTGATATTTGGCTGGCTTTTGGCTTTCCTTTGCTTCGTTTTGCTCATTCAGAGTGCAATTCGAATGACTAAGCAACACCAAAGAAATTTTGGCAACAAAAAAAGCGGTTGCTATTGATTTTCAGTAGAAATTTTTGTTTTCAGATTCATTTGAATCATTCATTTCAGAGCTGAGTATTTCATTTCCTTAGATTTTGAAGTACTTTTTCCCAAAGCTCATCTCTTAAAGCTCATCTCTCAACTATCCCACCGAAAATCTCAATGTTTTTCCTTGTTTCATTTTGTCGATAAATCTTCTCCCAAATCTTCTCAATACCTCAATATATCTTTTCGGATAATCAATTATCGAAAGGAAGCAATTGTCGATTTGTGGGAAGAAAGGGGGAAAAGACAAAGAGGAAAAGACAAAGACCCAAACAAACTCTCGAATCTATCCATCCATCTAATGCTATCAGAGGAGAAAGGAAAGGAATCAAAAGGGGAAAAGGAGGAAGAGCGGGAAAAAATGACCGATGCCTATTAAACATAAGATTCGAGAAGAAAGAAAGAAAGCATTGTTCAATGTTTTTCTTTCAAATTCTTGAATCTTCTCTTTTTGTTGATTTTTAGAACCAAAAGTACTATCCAGTGATATTTTTCAAATCAAGTACTTAAACTTTCTCATATCTTTCCACTCTTGCATAGTTGAAGCTTGGTTTTTCTTTGTCTTTCCCATTTTCACTTTGATTCAATGCAGCACACTCTACTTTAGCATCAGCAATACTTGTTCATCTTTCATATTTTCCATTTCTTTTTCTGTTTTGAAATACAATCCAATGAATGCATTATCTCCAGCCACCGCTAAATGTTTTGACTGCTTTTTCTCATCTTTTTTTCTTCGTTGAAATCTCGTGACCGACAATTGATCAAGATTTTCGGCACTGATTTTATTCGACATCCAGAAAAAACAATTTCTAATTCCAACAACGTATCCCCATTTTTATACCTAAATGCTGAAATTTCCTCAAATTACCATATTTCTTCACTACTATGTTCTCCCTTTCACCGAACAGCACATAAATTTCGCGCGCGAGTCTATAAATCGTGGCAAGTGAGAGAAATGAGCGGCAGATTGGGGGCAAAGAAAGGGATCAAGAAGGGGAAAGGATCGAAATTGTCAAGGGAAGAGACAAGTTTGACAGGCAAGGGTTTGCATACATTACAGACAAAGCTTTACAATCTGCCCGACTGAATATTCTTGAAGGAGAGAGAGGAAAGAAGGCTTGATGGATTGGCGGAAGGTCAAAGGGTCATCTCAAGAGAGAATCGAATCAAGAAAGAGACCATATAGGGGAAGGAAGAAGGAGAAGGAAGAAAGAGAAGGGGAAGACTCTGGGCTGAATGGTAAATATGCTGAAGGCGATCTGTCATTTGAGAAGAAGAGTTGAAGAGAAGAGGAAGAGATCGTCCAGAGATAGGCATCACCACTTGAGATACCCAAATCTGAAGGGCAGGAGAGAGTGGGTAAAATCTAGGTCTCGTAATAGAACAAACAAGCTCTGATCAAGCTCGATCATTGATTTCTAGAAAGATTAGATCGATTGAATAAGGAGGGATCCGATCCCCAAACCAATCAACTTTTCTAATCCCTTGACTAGAAACTCGCTGTTGGAGTCCTTGTTCAAATGGCTTTCCAATGATTTTCTCTAAGCGTTGCTACTGCTGACTTTCCGTCAGCAGACTTTCTACTATTTCTAGGTTGTGGGGATGTTTAAGGGGTGTCTGGGGTCTCTATCAGATGGACGATCGCTTCCCCTTATCCATCCCCTTTCCATTCTCCTGTTTTCCCTCCCCGCGCACCCCAAACCGATCCGTTATGCGACTGTCACTCCCTTTTCTCTTCCATCTCTTTACTCTATTCTCTTCACATTGACCCCTGATCATTCTTCTTGAAGGCTAATGGATACTACAGTAATTGCTGGATTTATTGCCTTTTGAACAAAATTTTTGGGTGTATTTTTAGTAACTTCTGTATTTTTGTTATATAGGGCTTCAAGAGAAGTTCAGGACTTTGGTATCATGATACCAAAGTCCTGAACTTGATATATCATTTCTTTGGCATCATGACTTTGACTATCAGTTTAGCAACAACTCTCTGTCTGGCTTTTCACCTATCAATTAATCTATGTTAATCACTTCTTTCAACCTCTAGTCTCTTCCAAGCGTTCTCTAGTCTCTTTCAACTATATCGGTTCTTAAAAGAGCAACATTTTGTTGCCACCTCAAGCTGGTGACATCCAGCTGTGAGAAAAGGACTCGATCAATTTCAACTCACAGTCACGAAACCGTCTCTAACCACTAGGAAATCGATTTGAAAGTTAGCTATATATGTCTGTCCAGTTGATATCTACAGTACAATCTTAATTTATCTATTTTACTTGATTCTAATCCCATATTAGGCCAATTGAAAGAGAGTTGCTACACTGGTAGCCAAAGTAAGCCAATTGTACCTCACGTTCATTCAACGTCACAAACGTCACAACGTCACAAATCAAATGTGTTATCCGTAAAGCTGGACAACCGGACCAACTCCTTTTTCAAAATCGCTAACAATCTTTTTTGAAAAGCACCTGGTGCCCTCCCATCGTTGTTGTGTCCCAATTTGAGGGGTGCATTGCAGGCGAAAAGATAATGTATGGACTGGGTCTGTTATCAGTTCTGAATTCTCTCCTCTAATCCCTTTCTTTCCATTCTCTCTACACTCCATTTCCCCTTTTTTTCTCAATGAAAGAAACATTATTTTCTCCCCTTTTTGTGTTCCAAATCTCTCTTTTTCCTTCCCGTCACCCCATAAATTTTTCGCGACGTGCTTCGCCCACTAATTCACAAATTATTGTCTTTTGCCACTGAATGTTTATGTGTTTCGATTGATTGATTCGGCTTTCTGTGCCTGTACTGATCAGCTGTGAGAGATAGAGAAGTTATTTTGATATGACAAAGCACTAAAAACTGTATAACGGCAACCTAATGCAAGCTCTAGTTACAGCTCTAGCTCTAGTTACAGCTCTAGCTCTAGTTACAGCTCTAGCTCTAGTTACAGCTCTAGCTCTAGTTACAGTTTCTTTCCATAAAAACCCATGGTAAGCTCTTGTTTTAAATATAATACTTGCGACTGATCATATCTGACTGATCATATCAGTCAGATATCATACTGATTTATTTTGAAATGATTTTTGCTAACTATTGTTATGACCATCAAGCTCTACTTCTCTACTTCTTTTCCAATCCCTTCAATCATCAAACCCAAGCGAAATCCATAAATCGAGTCAATTATGCGATCGAATGATTCATGTTCTCCCCATGCTCATTCTCAGCTATCCTCAGCAGCAGTTTGTGTGTCTCGATGTCATTAGTCTTCGAGTGTCGATCTCCTTTTCACAAAAGACGAAAGAACCAACGAGTCTAATGGCCAAATGTCTCGAAATGATACACCCCAGTGATTTATCGTCTCTCTTTTCTATTCCAATGGAGTGTATCTCCTCTTCAGGAAAGGGAAGTCCCTAGGGGGAAACACCCTGGATCGAGCTCTACCCCCACACACCACAATATCGCTACTCCGAGATTGATTGGGTCGGTGATGAGTGAGGAGCTCACACTTCACTAGTCAAGCTCTCACACCAATAATAAAGCTTATATTGTTGTTTACTGATGGAGTTAATTGTTACTAGATTTCAGCAGCTATCAGCCACCAAGCTTGCCTTTTTCGTTACTATTTTTTTACAGTTTCAAATTTCCATGAAAGCCTCGTCAAGTCAATTCATTCCACAGATGGACATTCATTCTTTTCTCCACAAATCTCTTCAATCTTTTTCTTCCGATGTACTTTCACAGATGTGCTTCTTTTCAATCAATTCCACAAAGCTTTGATCAAAATTTTGGCTGAATTGGTGGACTTGAGCGAAAAGTGTCCATCTTTTCATATGCAAATTAGGGAATTGTTCCAAAAACTGGACATTTTCCGGTGTTTTTTCGTTGAGTTTTCCCCCGGAGTTTCCCTTTACTTTCCCTATTGAATGGCAAAAACGTGAAAGATTTGCATACCATTAGGCACTTGTCCATCAGACTAAAAAAAGCAAAAGAACTGTGGGAAATCAATCAAATCTTTTCGTTTTCCTTTTTTGATCATTAATTGGTTCATGAAGGTTTTCTGATCAATACTGACAATGAGTGCAAAGCTTTTGTCCTTGTATTCAATTGCTTCAATTCAAAGTATTGAACTGTAGACAGTTTAACCGTAGACAGTTTAACTGTAGACAGTTTAACTGTAGACTGTAGACAATTCATTCTTCAACCCTAAATAGGTATACTTCTGTGAGATTCTTAAATCCCACCGATGATGATCCAGTTGCCTCAACCAGCGCTCCCTTTCCTCCATGCTGGTCGTCTATCTTGTCTCCCATCCTCTCCCCTATTTTTCTTTCCTTTTTCCAAACATTCATCTATCAATGGGAGTTTCTCGAGTGCTCATCCTTCTGTGATTCATGTACTTTCACTCCTCGTTCCCCTCTTTCCCCTTTCTTTCTTTCAAAAGCCCCTTGAGGCCCTTCAAGGAATGCCACTTTTAGCCACAACTAAGCAACGGCTTAAGTCCCTGAAAGCTATAAATTTTGTTGGCAATCATTTTATGGCCAAACAAATATTGTGAATTATTTGAATAATTTTTTTGTCTTCTGTCTTCTCAAACAATTTGTTTCAGTTTTAAATGGTGCTACGAGAAGTTTCTATTACTATTCTATTACTCCTTTCCCTCCTCACTCAATGTTTTGCATCCGTTTTGGGCTCTGAGCCGATAGTTTGTAAGTTTTTCGAAAATTCGATAATTTAAATGGAAACATTTAGCTTATATTGATGGGAATTCAAAAGAAAATCTGTGCAAAACGAAATTGGAGCGAAGGATTTTTGGTGAGTTGAGCCAAACATTACTATAGATTGCCAAAATGATCACTTTTTCGCTATTGATTTGGTAACAACTTCTGATTTTATCTAGAAATTTATAAAAAGTAAAGAATGAGAGAGAAAGAGAGAAAAATGCATTCAAGGCTATCAGTTCTTCAGAGTTTTTGTGAAGAGAGGAAGGGGCGTTGATTATCGCATTAGGAATTGTGATTTACGACACACCTTGGATTCCAATAAGATATTTGCTCCCGTTTTTGAGAGAACAAGTATTATGTTTTGCTAAGCAAATAACCAAGAAAGCAAAAATAACCAGAAAATGCCTGTACAGATAGACAGACTGCTCTTTTATATATACTGTAAATACTGTAATAGTACCCCACCCCCTCGTACAGTCGCGTTGTCGCAAAGGTTTTTTAGTATTTCATCTTTTGCAAAGCACCCGTACTTTCAAAAAATGCGTCTTTGGTATCAAAAAATAGCCCTGAATTTCAGCTATTTTTTTGATACCTAAGCGCGCACTGCAGCATAAACCAGTGTCGAGAAAGACGCCTCCAAAGCTAGACTACACAACACTCCGTACCGTCATTATGGGGCTACTATTACAGTATTTACCGTAGTAACTATAAACAGACTGATAAAGTTAATTTGAGGTTATTCGGGCACGATCTTCTCCCATTCCGAATACAGTTACACTCCCTACAATGTCTCAAAGAATTGCATTGTTGTATTGACCGTTCCAGTTGGATATCGGATAAGATTGAGGTAAGAAATATTCCCAGAAGTCAAACTCTCAGAAGTCAGAATAGTGAATATTTGTTGGGTTTAGAGTGGTCGACTTTGAGGTGCCGATGGGAATCGATGAGAAGTGTAGTAGCGGGGACACGCTGCATGTCTTTGATGTAAGTCTAAATTAGATAGGATATTAGAGAAGTCAAAGAGAAGAAAAATCAATGATTTACTGAAAACTAAAGTATTTACTCGTATTCTAGTCAACCAATCAAACATCAACTTTCAGCACGAAAACACAGTCGGTGAATCGGTGATTCGATTGGGCGGTGATGATGTCATCTCTCCTGGAGCAATACTTGGTAGTTGAACTGCTTCAAAGTCTTTAAGGCTCTATAATCTTGACAGAACCTCAGGCTCTTGAATGGCTAATCAATACAAGCTGTTGTTTAGCTAATCAAGTCTAATTCTTCTTTTCCAGGTCAATTCTGCGGGAAGCTGAATTCGAGTCAAGTCCTTGCAGTCTCAACTCAAAACGCTCTCACATTATGGTGGCATTCAGCTCAACCAAATGAATTGAATCCATTTGGACATCACGGAGGAAAGGGATTCAGACTTCATTGGAACGCCTTCAGAGAATCCAAAAACAGTAAGTCAATTGCCATAGCTTTTCACAAAGCCACAAATCACTAGTTGCCTGCAATCTGCAACGAGAATTTGGATGTTCGAAAGTCGACGAGTGTATCCCATCAGAGTTAGCGTGCAATAAACAAGCTGATTGTCTTGATGGATCTGATGTAATCATTCGGCATCAAATGGACTACAAATGTGAAAGTCGGTTTTGAATAAAATCCAGCTATTCAGTAAGCTAGAAAGAAAACAAAGACTTGTCAACGTCTTCTCTAATTTCAGATCTCGATTTCGATCCCCTGACCACGATTTCCGGCCTTCATCTCCTGCTAGTTTCATTGGCGACTGTGATTTGCTTGGTTGCTTTCTGTATCTGTGCATGTTTCATGTGTCGATGTCTTCAAAAATCATCCGCTCCACAAACCAAGACACAAACCAAAAATTGTGTCGAAGCACAAGGTGAGTTTTGAGCTGACTAGTTAAATTGAATTAAACAATGAAGTTTTAAAGTAACCTGACCTTTAAAGTTTCCTTTTGCAGGCTTGAGAACGATGGCCGATGGCTTCACTCCATATCCACCAAGCTTCTTGCCTCCAAGTCCTCCAAAAGTCCCACAACAACCATATGCGAATTCAAGGCAAAATGCTTATTTGCCGTAAGTTTTGAGTCAAATATTAAAGCTATGAGTTGAAAAAATGACACAAAATCACTTATTAGTCGATACTGATTCAAATCGAGAAACTTTTCAGTGGATTTCCGAAAGGACAAGACCCTCGGAGTTACGGCTTTCCAACTGATCGACCGGCATCAAGTGGAGAGTATGCTTTCGTCAGAGATACACGAAATATCATTTGAGCTTTCAAGCATATATTATTCCTTGTAATTTCACCTCAGCAATCAACCAATTAACTTTCAATAGATAACCTTTAACAGTCTTCAACCTTTAACTACAAGTCTTCAACCTCCGGACGTCCAGGGTAGCCGATTGGGAAGAATTTTTGAATAATTTGAATGTAAATGCAAATGAAATGAGCCTAAGCCTGAGCCTAAGCATAAGCCTAAGCCTAAGCCTGAGCCTAAGCCTAAGCCTAAGCCTAAGCCTAAGCCTAAGCCTAACCTAAGCTTAAGCTTAAGCCTAAGCCTAAGCCTAAGCCTAAGCCTAAGCCTAAGCCTGAGCCTAAGCCTAAGCCTAAGCCTGAGCCTGAGCCTAAGCCTAAGCCTAAGGCTGAAAGGATGTGCTAAAATTGATCAAACCTCTTGCCTCAAACAAACAACTTGAGCTGTTGACAACTGTTGACAAAAATTCTCCCCTTCTTCGGTAAATGTGCCGGTGCTTTCAAGAAAATGCCCAACTCGTTTTTGAACATTTCCACTTTATTTTTTTACAAAAAATCTTGGACATTTTGATCTCGATTATCTTTTTTTTGTAACTTTTTTCCTCTCTGAATGTGCTATCTTTAAAACGGGTATCTCTTAGTCTTGATTGAAAGAATCTGATGTAAATAAATGATTCGGTAGATGTTTATAACAAGGATTGGATGGAACAAGTAACAAAATAACAGCTTCAGACAAGTTACAAAAATGCAAAGCTAGCTAGCTTACAGCTAGCAAATAACTGAACAAATTGTGATGATGTAATGGGTTTTTTTCTATTTTAGTTTCCCTGATCGGTTCTCTAATGAGAAAAGAGTAGAAATCAACTTCAATAATGCGGGGGTGTTGAAGTGGAAAAGAAAAGAGAATGTCTGCCGATTTTTCTTCTTTCATTCTCGAAGTTTTCTTGGTGGATTTGAGATCTTTTCTTTTTGAAAAGAGAAAAAGAAAATCTTGAGATGAAGCGAAGGCAAAGATTCAGTATTTGTTCATCCTTCTTCTCCTCCACCGTTTCCCCTTCTACCATCAATTGAAGAAGTCAGTAAGGCTGCAGGTTTCCCTTTTTCACTCTATGAGTTTGAATTACTTTGTATTCCATGTGTTTTTGATATTTTTGACTGCAAAAGAACTTTCAAAGAGTACTAGTGATTAAGAATACAAAGATTTTAAGATCTTAATGCAGTTCGGCCAGCTACAGTACGAATGGGAACTTTAGAATGGGATAATGTACGAATGGAAACTTTAAAGTATCTTTAGCATCTAAAGCTACTGTGAAAACTCTGTTTTACTGCAATACGCTAGCATAAACGCTAGCATCCAGGTGTAATATCTAAAGCTTCGACTACTTATTTTGATTTTGGATTTGAAGCCTATACAGTCTTGATGTTAAATTCTTTATTCTAACGTACTGTAGCTGGCAGAACTTCATTAAGTTCTTTAGTTTTTAAGAAGTCAGTATTTTCCATGAAAATCTGCGCTTAAACAACAGTTTTTCTCTATTTTTTATCTATTGACTTTTATCTTTTATATATCTACCTACTTTAGCAATATCTTTCTAATACCTCCTCATCGTCATCGTTGGCAGCTCCAGCTAATTACCCTTTAGAGATAAAGTTTCACCCATAAACGATCTTATAAACACTTTTTTCAAAGCTGATTAGCTAAGCTTTGAAGCTAAAAAGCTAAGCTTTATCCAAAACGCTTGAATCCAAAAAATCCTTTTCTTCTCCAGAATTCCCAGTGTCCCCACCGAATCTCTCTTCTCAAGGACCACTGTAATGCAAATAGATATGGAAGAAAAGCGTTGACGGGTTCGGTTGAGGGGAAAAGTAAGGGAGAAAAAAGGATGGGGGATGGGCTAGCCATCTCTCAAGGCATTTCACCTGATCTTCTTTTCAATATCCTCATTTTGTATAAACTTATTGATTTCTAGTAATTTGTTTTTAAAGTCTTGTGTTTGATAACATTTCACATTTAGGCCATGTCTTGGACGGGAATGGAGACCGACTTCCGCTATGGTGGAGCTGCCAACGAGGACGATGAGGAGGTATTAGAAAGATATTGCGTTTATGAATGTTTTATCGTTCTTAACGATTGCAAATTGTTTTATCGTTCTTAAAGATTTAAATAATGTCAAATAAACACAAAACAACAATTAATTCAATGTTGTTTTTATTGTAATTGAGTTTTTATTGTAATTAATTCTCACCTTTCCAGAAGCTCAAGGCGCTAGAGAAAGCGAGAAAGAAGGCCGAAGTGCGCAAGCGTCTCGAAGATGCCAACCGCTCTAGAAACGCCAAGAGGGGATTCTTGACTCCTGAGAGAAAGAAGAAGCTCAGGGTTTGTGAAAACAGAATCAATGATTTCAATCAATGATTTTAAATCAATTTTGATTTAGAAACTTCTCATGATGAAGGCCGCTGAGGATCTAAAGCAACAACAAATGTTGAAAGAACAAGAGAGACAACGCATCTTGGCTGAGAGAATCCTCCCGATGCCCGATTTTGGAAATTGCGGTAAAGAATTGAAAGAACAAATGAAATCACGATCATTCAGTCAAGTACAAGAACTAATCGCTAGATTATATCCTTTCAGATCTTGAAGAGACCTTCGAGGAGTTCGTTGAGCGCGTTCTTCAACTCGAGAGCGAGGTTGATAAAACTTTTGAACTTTTTTAGAAGTTTAACAAGCTTTCCACTAGTATACCTATATCTTAATTGATTCAAAACCTCTATTTAATTGATTCAGGTCTATGATCTCTCATACATAGTCCGTCAAAAGGACTTCGAGATCAACGAGCTCACCATTGCTGTAAACGATCTTCGCGGAAAATTGTGAGTGATATTTTGAAGTCTGTTTTGAAGTCTGTTTTGAAGCCTATGTTTTAAATTGAATCTTGTTCGTTTAATCCTCTGATAATGTTTAATGTTCGTCCTCTGATAATTCAAAATTTTAGCGTGAAACCAACCCTGAAGAAGGTCTCGAAGACCGATTCGAAATTCGACAAGCTCAAGAAAAAGGAAGCCTCCAAAGTAAGCGAAGCCTCCCAAGCCTCCAAAAGGAAGCCTCCAAAGCCTCCAAAGCCTCTATTAGACTAATGAATTTGGATTTGGAATTAGATTTTAAAATTTACTTTTAAATTGTCTCACCAATTTTACTATCAAATTTGGCAGGTCGATTTCCGCTCGAATCTCAAGGTTATCGACAAAAACCAATTTGCCCTCGAAGAAGTGAGTTTTTAGAAGCTGTTTTTGTTACAAAAAGCTTTGTACCAACAGTACCAACAGCTTTGTACCAACAGCAAAAAGCTTTGTACCAACAGTGTACCTTTGAATTTGAACCATTGAACGAACTATTCTAAATATTTCTCAAATTTCAGGAAGAGAAGCAAAAGAAGGCCGATTGGGCGAAATAAAAAGGATCTTTTCTCTTTACTTAACTGATGTTTTTTTTTGTAAAATAATAAACGATTAAAAATAACAAAACAAAGAAAGAGCATTGTGAATGAACATTAAAAAAGCCATTTTAGTCATTTTCTTTGAATCAGCAAAGACAATTTCATAATCTATCATCTCGAAATATCTTTACGTTCCTACGTTCCAACGTCATTGTCTTGTTTTTCTTTCTTTTGAGATCCTGAATGGGAAGAGTCGACAAGAAAATTTCCTCCTTTCAAGGTCATTTTTTTTGTTGGCATTGATTTAAAGGGATCTTTTGATGGGTTGAAAAATCCAATACATCTTTATTACATTTTCAACTACATTCTTCGTAGTTCTGAAAACTCTATTGAAAACTATCATTTCTTTAAAAAACCAGAATTTTCAAGAGCTTACAATGGGTGACTATGAAAAGCGACCGTATGTGAAATTTCTATATAAAGTTCTGTTTCTTTTGTTTTAGATGTACTCAATTACCATTCTTGACACAAAAGCAAACAAGATGGTTTGGTTCGTGCATTTGTTCGACTTTTGTGGCAAGTGAGTTTCATTTTTCCTAATTAACATAGCATAAATCTCATCTAATACTGTTGTTGTTATTAAAAAAGCTTAGTGGCTTATGCTCGAGTAACTTGCACCTTGTAATAACTTGTATGAGTTCTGTTTCAGTTTTTGTCGTAACCATCATCTCTTTGGTCTTTTTTCAACATGACCCCGACCCGGATCCGATTCAATTTTTTGGCGAAGAGCAATTTGTGAGCTTTTATTGCCATTTATTAATGATCAAACTACTTTTTTTAAAACTAAATTCATAGATTGATCCAACACCTATCCAACCAACGGTGAAGCTGCTAGATTCTGAGCCAAAGATTGGAGAAATCATTCATATTTATGCAAATATTACTAATTCAACTACAAGTGCTGAGTAAGTTGGAATTTTAAGAAATGGAGCTTAATCTTTTCTAGTTTTTGCATTGCTCTGGTCAAAGCGGGCGACGATCAGAAGAATGTGCCAATGAAAGTCTGTGTTCAATTTGGAAACGGTTCGCACGAGTTTTGGGTTAAAAACTTAATTGATAATGTTTCTTAGGTGTTTTAAAGTTTATAAATCATTTGTAAAAGTTAAAATGAAGCATTTTCAGTGAGTCGAATACTTTATACAGCGATTTGGGACGGCCAGTTGAAAGCCAATCATTCAGGGCCAAATCCGTTCACAGTAAGTTCATTTACAAGTTTGAATAGCTGAAGAAAAGGCTATAATTTAGAATAGAATAGCTATAATTTATGCTTTAGAAAACGCTATTTAAAAAGCTCAATTCAGCCAGGAGACAAGCTCGATCTTCGAATTCGCTTTCTCGATCAATACATTCAATTCTTCGCCGCACAAGGAGAAGTCGGAATTTTCGAGAAGATTCCCGAAATTCATACGGTAAACAATGTAATTATTCTGTTTCAAGAACAGTTTTTAGGCTAAAACCCTTTTGGTTCAAGGAGGAGTAACAGGTATTCGATTGATCACAAAACGTGGTCAGAAATACCCAAATCCGATGAATGCTTCACTGGTTTTGAACTATACAACTCGAATGGATCTGATGGCAAGACCGTTGGCTAAATGTTGGTTTATCTGCATAAGTTTCTTGAAGCAAATTACCGCATTTCATTTAGTTGAGGGTGGGTTGTGGAACGATTTGATTGAAGGAACGAATGGCACAAAACCAAGTGAGAAAACTCTTTGGCAAAACTGATTCAATGTTTAGCATCTACTAGATATAAAAGAGCAGTGTCGGCAGTATTTTAGAGCAGTGTTTACAGCTGATATCAACATAAATATGCTGCTAGATATTTTGTTGTGAAAGTTGAATGTCTTCTTTAGCTAACCTTCGAGTGAAACGAAAGGGCGGAGGTGGACATAGTAGTGGAGGACATGGAGGAAGGGGTGGAAGTGGAGCTCGTGGAGGACATGGTATTGATTAGTCAAACCTTGAAAATAAGTTGCTTTAGTGAATAATTTACAAAACAGGTCGAAGAATTTAACAACTATATTTGGTTTTCATTTCAAAAACTCTAATTTTAAAGCCAGCCAGGCTTTTAAAGCATTTTATGGCTCAGGCTTACTGTTTAATATAACGCATGGATTCAAGCTGGTTTGAAGCTGGCCTAAGCCTAAGCCTAAGCCTAAGCCTAAGCCTAAGCCCAGTTTGCCTTTTTCAGGTGGTAGCCATTCGGGGCACTCTTCTTTTCATGGCGGAAGTTTCCACGCAACTTCATCATATCATTATCATTACTCATATTCATCGTCGAGTTGTTGTTATTATGGAGGAGGGAGTCATTCAAGTTCTCATCCAGCTAGAGCAAAATGGGGATCGTATCAATACTCGCCTGTTTTTGGAGGTATAACAATCGAAGAATCAGAAAGCACTTGACTTTCAGGCTACTACCAATTACCTTCTTTCAACCTTTCCACAGCCAGCAATCCTCACATTTTCACTCCATCTTCATACAGCTATCGACTAGTTAATGGAACTTTCTATGTTCCAAGTTATGGACACGGAAAGGCTCTATCGAATCATTCTGTTATTGATCACTCAAAGATCCCTAGACGTAAGTAATTTTCTAATTTCTATAAAAAATTCATTTTAGCAAAGAGATTCGATATTCTTTTCTCCAAAGACAACATCAATCCAGCATTTACGGTAGAAAGATCTTTTGATATCAAGTAATTTCTAGCTTTTTCAGCTCTCATTCCGGTACACTGAAGAAACGGTTGTGTTGAATACATGGGCTGGTGCTTGGGACGAAGAAGATAGGAGTCCGTCTATGCCGATCGATGACTGGAGAATGTGAGTGCTTATGAGAAAGTACTTCTCTTCTCTTTAGAAGTCTCTTCAAAAGTCTCAGAAAGCTAGGCTTTCCAGAAAGTCTTTCTGAACGAAAAGAAACGAAAAGGACAACCTAATAGATTTCTGAACAACCTAATAGATCTAGAATATTCAGATTTGACCTGACAATCACCAATGAACATGATGGTCTCCACATCTACATCAATCGATATCCATTTGTTACATTCACTCATAAAAGCTCTCTTACAGATTCACTGAAATATGTGAGAATCGATGGAGACATTGAGGTACGCAAAAAGAAGTGACAAACTCAAAATAAAATGTTTTAGGTTTTATCGTTAGCTGTGGATGGTCAATCGTCTTTTCCAATATAAAAAGAAGATTTCGCTGAACTTTATTTGCACATAAACTTTCTTGAATCATTGTGCCACGAATCTGTTTCAGTTAAAGTAAAATAGCATAGTTTAAAACACTTTCATCCAATTTCTAAAGCACTTGAACTCAAAAATGACTTCACAACAATCTTTTTTGATCGATCAATATCTTAGTCACATTCATTTTTGGTGTTTCTCTTTTATTTTTGGTTACAAAGATTGGAACGGCATGACTTTCTCCGGTTTTCTCAAAAACACCGCATTTCAAGGTCATTACAAATTTATTTTTGATAACCGCAAAGATTAGCGAAATTTGTCACTCAACATAAATGGGCAAGTGTGGGTGAGTGATGTTTAGCTTTGTTCATCTGAAGAGGCTGTTTAGCTTTGTTCATCTAAACAGGCTTTTTAGTTTTGTTCATCTAAAGAGGCTGTTTAGCTTTGTTCATCTGAAGAGCCTGTTTAGCTTGTTCATCTAAGCTCTTTAGATCTTTTGGGAAGATTTTGATCCGAGTTGGTGTCATTGCTGTTATATTGTTGTTTTGCGGTTGGTTTTGTTCATTTGTCTGTGATCTAAACTTTATCGATCACTTCTATAAGCTTTTACTCAACTCAGCCTTTAGCTTGGCTTGCCTCCTTCATTTACTACCTCTTTTTCCACCACTCCCCTCAACCTGATCCAATCAAGTTTTACGATGAGCAGAAATTCGTAACTTTTTTTTGATTTGTTTAATCATTGAGTAGATTATGATGAACTTAGCATTAAGCCTGTAAAAAAGCCTTTTTCAGAACGATTCCACTCCCAATCATCCACTTGTTTATGATCTGAAATCATCACCGAAAGTTGGAGAAATCATTCACATATCAGCAAAAGGCACAAATGCTTCTATCACCTCAAACAAGTACAACAATTTTAGTACAACAAGTATAACAATTTTAGTCCAGCAAGTACAACAATTTTAGTACAACAAGTACAACAAAAGCTATTTTCAAGAAATTTTCAGTTTTTGCGTCTCGTTGATCAAATCCGTTGATGACGAGAAGAATGTGCCGCTAAAAGTTTGTGTTCAATTTGGAAATAGTGAGTTATACTGAGTGCTGCTGGATATATGCTGTGGAAATTTTCCAGAAAGTCAAATCGTCTATACAGCTACTTGGTCTGGACAAATGAAAGAGAAACATTCAGGTCCAAATCCATTTACGGTAATTTTTTTACCTAGCCTATTGCATAGATTCAGCACGATTTAGTCAGGGGAAATGTTAGATCTTCGCTTTCGTTTTCTCAAGCAATATGTGCAAGTGTTTGCTGATCGAGGAGAAATCGGAATCTTCGAGAAAATCTCCGGCGTGCATCAGGTTATAAGAAAAGCTTTTGTGATCAATTTCTTTTAGGTTAAAACTCTTTTGATTAATGGTGGAGTGACTGAAGTGGAATTGATTACAAAGACTGGAGATGTTTATGGGAATACAACAAACATTCCAATGGATTTGGATAAAGGAACACGGATGGATTTGATGGCAAGACCGTTGAGTCAATGTGGGATAGTAAAGCTATAGCTCTGACTTCTTTCTAGTGATTTAGACTTTCGAAATCGAATTGATATCTATAAATTTAGCCAAGAATCATACTTTTTGGAAAGAGCTGATCGATGAAACAAATGCTGAAACAGAAAGTTAGTTAATACCGTATTTTCTCTAATAGTAGTGCACCCCTTTGAGTTGGTGACTATTTTACGGTTTCCAAGCTTTTGCAGAAGCTTAACACTCAAATCCCCCACAAGATCTCATTGTCAGCTACATTTTTCAACCCCACATCGATAGGTTCTGATAAGCGGTTCTCGAGATTTCGAGGAATTTAGGCAAACCTTAAGGTGCATTCCCTAATAGTGCACCCTGCCGAGTTAGTGACTATTTTACGGTTTCAAAGTTTTCCCAGAAGCTCAACACTCAAATCCCGCACTAGATCTCATCGTCAGCTACATTTCCCGACCCCACATCGATAGGTTCCGATAAGCGGTTCTCGAGATTTCGAGCAATTTAGGCGACGCTCAGGGTGCACTACTATTAAAGAGAATACAGTAACCGTTTTTGAACCCTAAAACATTAGTTGACCCGTCTTCAAAGGCACGCCACACTCGACCACTGGCAGGCTGGGAAAGTGTCGATCGTGGCGGTTTGTGACTTTGTTTGCAGAAACTTTATAGCTTCCAAATCTAATGAACTAACTAACTTTCAAATCCATAAGCTAACGAATTTTACAAGTTGTAAAATCAAAGCGTTTTCCAGGTGGTGGTCGTTTATTCCTTGGACATGCTCATTCAACATTCCATTCTCACGCCAATCAGGCATCTCCTCATTCAAGTCTCTTATGACTCATAGACTTTAAACCTCAACTTTCAGGTTATTATATCTGTACGGCTGACAACAAATCACTCAGTGATAAAGAGATTACAATACCTCCAACTTACAGCTTCAGAGCTAACGGTACTGTGCTTTATTCACCAAGTTATGGCCCTGGGAAAAGTCTTCTTGATCATGCTCAGATTCAAAGACGTAAGTTAAGTTTGTTTTTCTTATACAAAGGAATTTAGCTAAACGTTTTGATCTTATCTTCACGAAAGATTTGCTGATTCCAGCATTCACGGTAAGATTGTATAAAAATCAAAGGAAATCTTTTAAGCTCTCTTTCCGATTTAACGATAGAGAAGTGGTGGTGAATACATGGAATGCTGGGAGTTGGGATCAAGAAGAAGCATCATCATATGTCCCATTGGATGATTGGAGAGTGTGAGTGAAAGGATTGGCATTCAAAAACAAACCTTCTTCCCATTCAGATTTGATTTGACGATCATCAATGAAGAGTTGGGATTAATTGTTTATTTGAACGGTTCTCCGTTTCTCACCTACACTCATAAAGCGGGAATCACTGATTCATTGAAATATGTGATGCGAATTGATGGAGATATTGAAGTATGTGAGATTTGGGGCTTTGATTGACTTACTGACAAATGAACACTAGCTACAGTACTGGACAATGAAATATCATATTTGAAAAACGATCGTCACTTTCTGTAACTCCCTTGTCTTTGAGTTTAAACTATTAGTGTTATACATTTTCTGAAAGCTCTTTTCAAGGGCTACACAATGGTAATATTAATATTTAGAAATACGGTAAAGACAAGGGAGTTACAGGCACGCGAAAGTGACGATCGTTTTTCAAATATGATATTTCATTGTCCAGTAGTGTAAATCACTTCCAAATACTTTTTAGGTTCTCTCATTGTCAAGAAATGGTCATCTCATCAAAAACTAGAAGATCTACCGAAATTGATTTCATTGTATTTGCCTTTTTCTAAAAATTTCCCAAAAATAAATTCAAAATAGTCTCGATTTGTGATTTGTTTAGAGAAAAGCATCAAATTACAGCCACAAAAAAGATCAGATTGATCGAATTCACAAAAGACTTCAACATCACAAAATAAAAGGTTGAAATTCTCATTTCCTATAATATTTCGCTATGAAATGTTTATTGTTTATAATCCTTTTACTCAAAATTGTCTTTTCATTTGAGAATGAAGATGAGCTGAAAGTTCTTGAGGGAAAATTCCCAGATAGTTTTGGTGAGTACCATTCTCAACAGCTTCTCACCGCAAGAGTTTGATTTCAGAACTCGAATCATACAAGTTTTTCAAATTGTTGAACGATGAAGAGTATGAAACTGTTCGATGGGTGCTTGAGACAATGAAAGGAGTGAAATGCTTTAAAAAGGTTAGATAAGAAAGGAAAGTGATCGTTAGAAAGATAAGAAAGAAAGATAAGAAAGAAAAGTGATCGTCATCCTTTCAGTTGATGAATAAAAGCCGAGAAAAAGACGAGGAATTGTATCAACGATTGAGTAAACTTTATCCAAAATATCGAAAAATGGAGCATTCGTTGACATCAGAAGGGAAGATTTACATAAAAGTGGTGAGAAAATTGAACAATTTGAAGCTAGTTTTGAGAAAAGCTTGTGACATTTATGGTTTTCAGTTTTGTAAAACGAGAAACAAATTCTTAAAGGCCCACTTTCGGATTTTGAAAGAAAATCTACTCTTTGTAGCTTTTCTAATCTCCTAATGAGCTTTAGATAAACAATATAGACTATTAACCTGTTCGATCTTTAGTTAAAGGTTAGCTTAGCTTAGTTTAGCTTAGTTTAGCTTAGCCTAGCCTAGCTTAGCTTAGCTTAGTTTAGTTTAGTTTAGCCTAGCCTAGCTTAGCTTACCCCAGCTTAGCTTAGCTTAGCTTAGCTTAGCTTAGCCTAGCCTAGCTTAGCTTAGCTTAGTTTAGCTTTAGTTTTTGTCAATCAAGCAATTATATGCAAATATTAGAGTGTGTTCCTTCCGAGTAAGTAATTTACCCGAGCAAAATTTGCATGAGTAATTTTTACTCGATTAATCGACTTTTTTTGACCGAGTAACTACGAGTAATCCTCTTTACACATCGAGTAAATTAAAAACCTTTACATTTGATGGGAATTTCCCACCAAATCAGTTAAACAGCTGAATAACTTGAAAACGATTCCTTGAAAAGGAAGCGTATATAAGTCGGCGCTCGTGATTTTTTCACGACAATTTTTTTGCGTCAATTTTTGTGCAATAATTTTCGCTAAAAGTACGATAATATTTATCAAATGTGCGTTTTAAAAAAACGCATTACTCGCGAAGAATACGCTCTAGTCAAAATAGTGCTTCGAACTGAATGAGTTTCGGTAAGCTATCTTCAAATTTAACCATAAGAATTCAGTTACGGTATACAGGGGAAAATTACCCGGATAAGAGTTCTTTTTTCTACCTTTGCAGCCAGCAAACTTGGAAAGCAAACGCATTAAAAAACGCATCACTAGCGAGGAACACACTCTAGCAAATATATTCCAGGTCTACTTGGCGGCTCGAGAGAATTTACTCAATCAAAATCAAACAGAAACAGCTGAATGGAAAATTTTGACAAACGAGCAGGTATCAGAATATCCGCTTTTTAATTCAATCATTTCAAACCAAAGAATTATGGTAAAATTACGAAATAGCTATCATATATCACTTTTCAGGGAGATAAAATGAAAAAGATTTTTGAAAATCTCTCCGATGCGGCTCAGGAGAATCTATTAGAAGAATTACCCGTTTTCACAAAATTCATCAAAGATGATCTCTACAAGAAACACAGAAATTTCTTTGATGTTTATCTCGATGAATGATTCAACTAGAGTCTGCTTGCCATTCATGTGTCATTATTTTTCTGATCATTTGCAAGATGTGCATAAAAAAGGTTTTAAAAACACGTTTTCACTCTCGAATTTGCTTGAAAGTAAACCCAAATTGAGTTAAAAAGATCGGAAATTGAACAATAAAACACTTTTTATGTAGAGCAAATCATAGTTTAATTGGTGAATTTGTGATTTTTAAACAAAAGTACGAAAAGGAACGAAAAGTCTTTCTGGACAGCCTAATAGATCCGCGTAGCCTTGAAGAAAATGAGCCTTGAGCCGGTCAGGATTTGCTTCGTTGTTTTCTATTCGCATTTTATTCTTTTCTTTTCATTTTGATGCCAGTATCATTTTATCAAAATACAATGTTGCCTATTTTTCAATTTCCAAATCAAATCTGATCAAATCAAATCAAATCAAAGCGGTGAAGTTTAGCGCTAGCGAAACTGGTTCTGACGAAGCTTAGCGCGATCTATAAACATGCCTAGTCTTTGGAAATAAAAAAATAGTTTCAAATGCAAACTCAAAAGATTACTCAGAGGTTTACCGAGAAGTTTGGAAGTTTAGATTGATATAGCGGAGGTTTATGAATAAGTCAGAACCAGGGGTTTGCGGGTAATAGAAATCCTGATCCAGATCGCTGAATTGTTTTGGAAGAAAACGGGAAGAAAACGATTCAAATGGGGTCAGCGATGGTTCTTACAGGAGAACATATTGCAATTGGCAATTGGCAATTGGCAAATGTTCTTACAATTGGCAAGTGTTCTTACAATTGGTAATTGTTCTTACAATTGGAGCAAAGTTCGATACTTTCATTATAGTACAATATTTATTCAAATTTCATCAATAAAACTTTATGTCATGATTCTCATTGACATCGTTGAAGCGATCGAGGTTCTCGGGAAAATCTTCACTTTCTCTAAATTCACAAAATTCACAAAGCAAGTCTCAAGTTTTATCCAGCTTTTAAGCAATTTGCTTAAATTTAGCCATTTTAACGGTAAATGGCTATTAAAAATAGAGAAAATAAAAGCAATAAAAATGTAAATTTGAAGCTTATCGACTCACTTTCCAAACCAAACGTTTCGAAGGCGTATGATCTAATGTCTTTGTTGAAAGTCAAGTAAATCACCGGACTAAAAATATTTGTTAGAAATAAAATCAGAATCTCAAACCTGACACAATTATTTAAAATCTGTATAATGTTTTGAAGAAATGTTAGATAATGAATTCCCATTCCAGTAGCTGGAATTTTCGAGAAGAAATCAAAAGCGAGAGTTTCCAATTCGAGAAAAGCACAAACGAGACTGCCCTGAAAGCTTTCGTTTGCTATCTTAGCTTTACTCTTACTACGGAAGAGTACTAGATTCATTTCGAAACGGTTAATTTTGAATCCAGAGTACTGGATTTCGAAACGAGCCCATCTGTTAGAAAATCAAACGGGGAATTCGAATCTGTAATCAAAATTTGCGGAATAGCTCGTAAACGCGAGATTTCTGGCATCAAAATGTTTGCTTTGCACTTCGAAGTTCGAAGAGCTCTTGAGCCGGGTTTACCTTTCAACGGCGGTCTACCTTGAGCCGGGTCTTCCCTTTCAACCGCGATCGTGGTTTAGTTGGTAGTTTGCTTACCTACGGAACTGATCGACGCTCTAAACTCTAATGAACATTAGTTCAAGCGATTGTTCGAAGAATCCGTATTAGTATTTAAATGTAGAAATCTTTTACTGTGGAAAATTATTCGATTATTATCATTTTATCAATATTAATGAATAGATTTTCGTTGAAATATTGGATTGGTGAATTGAAAACTGACGGCGATTGTCATATGTGGCAGTTTGAGCACTTTCTTCAAAAGAAACCCATTTTGGTGTCAATGGAAAAGTTGTAGAGAATCAAAAATCAAGCTTATATCCAAATTTTCAGAACGATTCAAAAACTGGTTTTCAAGAAATGCCAAATTTACGAATTTTCACAAAACTTGCATTTTAAGCGAAACTACTAAGTGTATCTTTTTGGAAATTTGGCTATAAGCCTAATTTTTGATTCTCTACAACTTTTCTATTGACACCAAAATGGGTTCCTTTTGAAGAAAGTGCTCAAACTAGGACATCTCCAGTCCTCCATTTTTGAGTCTCACACTTGCTCACACACAAACCAAAATCCTACTACGAAAGAGGAATCCGCAAATTGCCTGTAAAATGGGCAGAAGTCGTCAATAATAATGGAAATTATTTGGAATGTATTGATGGCTTTATATTCAATAAATTTTAGTTCAAAGTCCGGCAGTTTTCAATTCACCAACCCAATACAGCGAACGGTTGGGAAAGGTGAATGAACCCCTGAAGAAGAATAGGCCCTCCAAGTCAAAGATCGTTGAAAGATTCACCAACCTAAGCCTAAGCCTAAGCCTAAGCCTAAACCTGAGCCTGAGCCTAGGCCTAAGCCTAAGCCCGATTTGCACTAGGAGAAGTTTATGCTCTGCGTTTTCTGGGATATGGAGGGAGTGGTGTAGTTCAAAGTCCGGCAGTTTTCAATTCACCAACCCAATATTTGGATTGCCCGTTTGTTTTTCTATCGGGCTAAGTCTCGTTTCAAAATCCCACAGAAATCTAGTACTCTTCCCTAGTCAGTTGTTGTCATGAAAAGGAAGAATGAATGCAAAATGCCATACCTGTACCAACAGCTTGTATTCAGCTCGACTGTTTCCTCTAGAGAGATCTGATGTTTTGTCAACGATGCCCAAATAAGCTCGCAAGTATAAGAAAAGCCCCAAATAGATTAGGAACATAGCCACTGGAACTACAATATCTTTATAGAAGGCAACCTGGAAATTGGTCATAAATAGAAGTTTTTACTAGCACTCACCATGTAAAACCCTTTCCCAACTGTTCCATCTGTACAGTTAAAAGAAAAATAAAAGCCATTTGTTGAGAAATCTTTTGCACAACCAAAGAAATGTCGCCCACTTGCATCAATAAAACATAAAAGATAAGTGAAGATCACAATGCTCAAAAGAAAAGTTATAAAAGATAATCAGCTTGTTGTATAAAGTACCATAATAAGTTTTTCTTTTCAAAAAGGAGTCGATTTGCGATTTGAGAAGTGAAAACAGTCAATCGATTGATGGCCATCAATAAAGTCATGTAAGAAAGAGAATTGAAGAAAGTTGTTTCACAAAAGACACACATTTTATAGATGAATACAACGTCTAAACCGATGTAGATCTAAATTTGACTCTTTTGCTAGATCTTTCAACTTTTATTCAGCTTCTGAGATCAAGTTTGATCCTCTAGGATCTTTTAGGATCTTCTAGAATCTTCTAGGATCCTCTAGGATCCTCTCGGATCCTCTAGGCTCTTCTAGGATCTTCTAGGATCCTCTAGGATCTTCTAGGATCCTCTAGGATCCTCCAGGGTCTTCTAGGATCTTCTAGGATCCTCTAGGGTCTTCTAGGATCTTCTAGGATCCTCTAGGGTCTTCTAGGATCTTCTAGGATCCTCTAGGATCTTCTAGGATCCTCTAGGGTCTTCTAGGATCTTCTAGGATCCTCTAGGATCTTCTAGGATCTTCTAGAATCTTCTAGCATCCTCTAGGATCCTCTAGAATCTTCTAGGATCTTCTAGAATCTTCTAGCATCCTCTGGGATCCTCTAGGATCTTCTAGGATCTTCTAGGATCTTCTAGGATCTTCTAGGATCCTCTAGGATCCTCTAGGGTCTTCTAGGATCTTCTAGAATCCTCTAGGATCCTCTCTGATCTTCTAGGACCTTCTAGGATCTTCTAGGATCAAATTTGTTGATGTATTGAAACATACTAAAAACTAACATTGTAAGCTGTTATTGTCAAAGGAAAAGCCACAAGAAGTTGTACAATCAAAAGTATTGATTCACAAATGGACATCTGAAGAGCGAGCACATAAAAAGCAGTTTTGAGAAGGGATTTTCGACGCTAGAAAGTTGCACTTTAAGTACCGCTCATTTTTTATTAAAACTAAAATAAATCCAACATTGCTTACCCGAATAAACAAGAAAATCAAAAACGACTGAGCAATCAGTCCAAATATTGAAAGAATTGCATAAACACTTCCACAAATGTATCGATATTCAGATGGAGCAATCGGCGGATCCATAAGACAAAATGTTGATGAAAATCGAGTCTGAAAATGATTTGAACTAAACAGAAATTTGCATTCTTCTTGGAAAAAGTATTTTGTGATCAATTAGAAAGATTTTAAGGTGAAAAAGGTAGTTCTGTTGAGGGAAAATGAGGTGAAATTGCATTTTTCTCTTTTAAATCATTTCAAAGACGTCTTTACTCGAATACCCAAGAGAATCAGATTTCTGATCAAAAGTTATTCCACGAAATTCAGTCTCTTTTTATAACAATTTTCACAAATGAGACGATTTCCGCCTTCAAATTTCATTTCATTTCATTTCTAGCAAAAAAACTAACGAGATTTACAGGGTTTTTTATCGGAAATAGCTCACGATTTGGAATTGCATTTGATCGAGAGTAATAGTATTTTCTAGAAATTGTTACAGAGAAAATTTTTTAGCAAAAACTTTGGTCGAAAATTGTTCTAGATAAGCTTATCTAAAGCTTATCTAAAGCTTATCTAAAGCTTTAAATAAGCTTAGATTTTAGATATTTAGATATCTAGACATTTAGATAACAAGTTTAGATAGTTTCAGATTGCAAAGCTTTCAAAAAGCTTCAAGCATTTGTTCAATCCCTGTATTGGATTGTCCAGTTATGAATGCGCGTTTTTTACTATTTTGTTTTCACCAGTTATTTCTCAAGATACCGAAATCACGAAAAAGATATATATGAGTATTATTCGAAAGCTGAAGATCTCCTCTACATTTTGATATAAAAAGTTTTTGAATTTGTTCAGCTTTTGGGCAAGTTGACTGCACCGAAGAAGAGGTGGCCAAAAAGTGGAAGGGTGCCTTTGGATCAAGTTTTGGCTCCGCTCAAATTGAGTTAA